ATGTGGTTATGGGACCAGGCCTTCGGGCAATTAGGTTAAAGGACAATTGATAATGTTTGACTATGGCTTGGAAGTGGATTTGGATAAGTTAAGCGGAGTAATCATTAGTATATTGCTAGATAAATAGCCACCAGACTGGCAATAGTTAAATGGACCATAAGTATACTGTTCAATCTTTATTTATTAATGTTCATGTTTTTAATTGTTATATTTGCTATTTTGTATTTTATGATGCGGCATTGAATTATTGCCAGTTGGAAGCCGCCCTGAGTCCCCCCAGGGGTTGAGAAGGGCGGGGTAAAAATGTTCGAAATAAATATATCACTTTCAGAAAGAGCTAAAAACTTGGCTCTTTCTGCAGGCCTTTGATAAGATTGCAATCAGACCACTTTCTTTTGACAGGGAAGGCTAAATTGATTGTATGGATGTTTTAATTAACGACTATTGCCATATTTTATTCATTCTATTGATAATGTTATTTTTATATGTTTGGGTTGCTGTAGGTTTTTCCGGCTATATAGCCATGTTCTAGAAGCATTATCTCCTGACGTTTTGCCTGCATCTGTGGCAGGCATCCTCAGAGGGTGTGAAAAAACAAAACAAAACACCTCACAACCTCTGAGGATGCCTGTCACAGATTAGATGAAACGTCAGGAGATAATGCTTCACTAACATGGCCATGCAGCCTGAAAAACCTAAAATGGGCGACTAAAATGATCAAGGGTCTGGAGAACAAGCCCTATGAGGAGCGGCTTAGGGAACTGGGCATGTTTAGCCTGAAGAAGAGAAGGCTGAGAGGAGATATGATAGCCATGTATAAATATGTGAGAGGAAGCCACAGGGAGGAGGGAGCAAGCTTGTTTTCTGCTTCCTTGGAGACTAGGACGCGGAACAATGGCTTCAAACTACAAGAGAGGAGATTCCATCTGAACATTAGGAAGAACTTCCTGACTGTGAGAGCCGTTCAGCAGTGGAACTCTCTGCCCCGGAGTGTGGTGGAGGCTCCTTCTTTGGAAGCTTTTAAGCAGAGGCTGGATGGCCATCTGTCAGGGGTGATTTGAATGCAATATTCCTGCTTCTTGGCAGGGGGTTGGACTGGATGGCCCATGAGGTCTCTTCCAACTCTTTGATTCTATGATTCTACAACAGCCCAGTGATTCTGGCCATGAAAGCCTTTGACAATACATTGCATATGTTTGGTTTTAAATGTTATTTGTTTTAATGTTGTTATATTTTATTTTATATGTTTATATGGCACCCTTGTATGCTTGTAAGCTGCCAAAGTACCTTTGGGTGATGGTAGCAGGGTATAAATAAAATATTATTATTATTTGAACCATAACAAGATGAGTCCACAGCAGACAAGATCACTCTACTGGCTGTTGTATTGGATCACACGTCAGACACTTCCCAAGTGTCTAGGACTGTGTGATGTATCGGCGAATAATGTGTGCAGATCCCAGTGAGGTGGCCTTCTGCAGCTGACAGACAGCGCCGATTGTGTTTAAGTGCAGGCCAAGGTCTTTAGGCACTGCACCCGGTGTGCCGATCACCACTGGGACCACCTTTACTGGCTTGTGCCAGAGTCTTTGCAGTTCGATCTTTAAATATTCATATCGTATCAGCTTTTCCAGTTGTTTCTTTTCACTCCTGCTGTCACCTGGGATTGCAACATCGGTGATCCATACTTCGTTTTTTAACACAATAGTGCGGTCAGGAGTATACTGCTCCAAAAAAGATGATGGTGGTGGTGGTGGTGATGATGATGATGATTATTATTATTATTATTATTGGAGTATTTGCTGATTGGAGCATAAGACGATTGCCCCCATCATTGGGAGGAGAAGGCTGCTGTAACAGGAAAATATCCAGAGCAGTCTTCTCAATTACCTTGCCTCTGAGAATACTTTATATAAACCAGAAACTGGAGAAATAGACTGTGGAGAGGCAATAGACTCCTTACTATGATGAGAACAACAACTTTGCCATTGCACAACCTGAATGAAAATGCAACCACTAGTATCATGTAACAACAGGATTGCGCCCATGTCGGCAGAATCTCTGCATTGTTATTTAAAGAAATGCAACCCCAAATATAGCTTTTGACCTTGTCAGCAGTTTTAGAAGGTACACTTTGTACAGATGATCAGCTGCTGCATCCTTTTCCTTTGTCTTGAAGAATGTTGGCAAATCTTTATTTTCTTCCATCTTTTTGCATATTAGCAGCCTTTCCATGCTTCATCTGGGGCCAGAAGAGTGACTCATAGTCTTGTCACCTCCTATCATGTTGTACTGGCAATAGTCTACCTCTCCTGATTCTTTCGGCTTCTTCCAGTGTAAGAAATGTTTCTGGCTTTCAGATCTCTTAATCATCTGGCACACCCATCCTTTTGGCTGTTATTTGAGAGGAAGCAGGGTTGGCAATTCTGTATAGAGTCAGACCTGGCAGATTTATGAAGTAGGCAAACATATAATGTTTTCTGAAAATGTAATTAAACAGGTAACCCAATTATGACACATTGCAACAAAGTGCTAATTTTCTATATAACCATATAGATGACCTTTTAAGTCTCTCAACCTTTCTATTGCATTTGTGTGTTTTTCTCATTCTGCTATGGAAGAGAATGATATTAAGCATGTAGAAATGGAATATATATATAGTATTATGCCCTTCTGGTTTGGGAAATAAAATATGATACATCTACACTTCGGGTTGAGATTTCACTTTCCCGATATGATCAGATTCATAGCTAACGAAGCATAATTTTCTAATTTTCCATTATTTTCACTTTGTATGTAATACATAGTACATTCCATGCTTTTGCTGACAGATTATTTATTTAAAAAAATCAGAGCAACACCTTTACACCTTGTGAAAGTTTGTCATAGAAAGTAGTCTGCACTACAGGAGGTGTTTTGTTAACCAATTACAAACATTTTTTAAAGAAATACATAGATCAGGAAACAAATCTTTAACTTGAGAATTAAATTTGAATTTTAAAATATGTTTGACAAATTTTAAAATATGTTAAGAACAAACCTACAGAACCCATCTTGTTTGTAACTTAGAGACAGCTTGTAATTGGTCTTTTGTTTGCTTTGTGTATATTGCTTTGGCAATGAATTTATCTTCATTAGAAGCTTATTGGGGCAATGATATCTCTCAGGTAGGGATATGGTATGTTAGATGGAAGTGTATGTGTGAGAGAGACAGGACAGAGAAAGGAAGGAAGGAGTGGGTAAGCTTTGGCCCTCCAGGTGTTTGGGACTTCAACTCCCACTATTCCTAACAGCTTACCGGGAGTTGAGCTAGAATATGGGGGTAATATGCATGAATTGTTTTGAACAATCAAAGAGTACAGTTGAAATGGAATTATTAACTAATGTATATTTAGCTGCTTTCAATCTCCTTGTGGAGAGAAAAAGCGGGGTATAAATAAACATAACAACAATACATATTTTATTTCTAAATCAGTTGAGAACAAGGTATAATTTTTGTCCAAAAAAATTGGAATTGGCATAATGTAGCACGGCATCTGCCAAATGTACTGCGATATTAATGCTTGAGTTTTTCACATATTTCTCTTACGATTACAATATGAAATTTGCACACAATCTATATGGTGGTAGAAAGCAGTACATAGCATTCTGTGTACAATGATGCTGTGGAAAATGGAAGGAAAAAGGAAGAGGGGATGACCAAGGCAAGATGGATGGATGGTATCCTTGAAGTGACTGGCCTGACCTTGATGGCCAACAGGGAGCTCTGGTGTGGACTGGTCCATGAGGTCACAACAAGGCAGAAATGACCGAATGAATAAACAACAATTCTGTGAAAGAGACACATCTTTTAAAGTTAATGTAAATTTGGCTTTAAAAAATATTTTTTTCAGGCAATTGAAAAATTGACATTGTATTTCTTGTACTGCCAATAGTGGTTAAATATTATGTATAAATTTGGATATTAATCTATGAATTTTTCAATCTGCATGTTATGTGTCTGTATGTGCCCTCAAGTTTCTTGGTGACCCCATGAATTTCACAGTGTTTTCTTAAGCAAGGAACACTGAGAGTTTATTTGCCAATTCCTTCCTCTGAAACATAGCCCAAATTATGTGGTATTTCTTGGCAATCTCTAATCCAAATACTAAGCAGGGTTAACCCTGTTTAGCTTCCAGGATCTAGTGCCTTTAGGGTATTTAGGCAAGCTCACTAGTAAACCACGGTTATCAACAACCTTCTCCTCCAATGCTGTCATACAATTGGTTTTGTATATTTCTTTTTGTTGACTCCTCCAAGTTAGGGTTCTCAATGTGTATGCTAAAAATGTCTAAGCATTAATAGTTTCCTTCTATAAATTTCTTCATAGACCTGGATATAGATGTAACAAAATAAACTGCCATCCATAACTAATTCTTAACGAAATGTATATATGTATTTACAATTTGATTTACAGAACTTTTAGGGGGGGGGGGGGTTGGTTTTTTTTTGTCATGTCAGGAGCAAGTTGCTTCTGGTGTGAGAGAATTGGCCGTCTGCAAGGACGTTGCCCAGGGGACGCCTGGATGATTTTGATGTTTTTACGCATGAGGAGCTGGAGCTGATAGAGGGAGCTCATCCGCTTCTCCCCGGATTCGAACCTGCGACCTGTCGGTCTTCAGTCCTGCCGGCACAGGGGTTTAACCCACTGCGCCACCGGGGGCTCCATAAAACTTTTAGTTCCTCTGACTCAACAGATTATTTTTCAATTCAGCATATTGGTAAAATGAAAATGTATAAAGTTAGCTAATTTTAGTCTTTTAGCTTTTTCATACTAGTTTTCTACATGCTTTAAAAGTTGTATTCCAATCTCTTGACTTAGAAATTCCAAACACGGTGAAGGTTGGCTACCTTGATTTTTAACATATATTAATTTCAAAAAGCTCACATTCCTCCTGTTATTTACATCTGGTGTGAAGTGTTTCCCCTGTTGCTGACACACTACCTTTCTTCCCTTCAAGTTGGGTTTGAAGACTATGGACCAGATTGTGATAGCATGAGGATAACTGCGTTCTTGGACATTCCAGGGCAAGATAACTTGGCTCCGCTTGCACGTCTGGAAAAATATGCTTTTAGCGATAATATCTTTAACAGGTAACAAAGCAAGTAATTATGCTATTGTGAATTTTTGTGTCCTTTAACATGGGTGCCATATTTTATTACAGATTTTAGACGCAAAATTGGTATACGTAATCTATTCAGTTAGAAAATAGAACCAGACATTTATTCAGGTGCTACTGATTTATTTAAGCCTTCTAGTTTAATATTTGTAGGCTGCACTAGATAATTAATGGAGAACAGCGAGTTTTCATCGCCATTGGCCATACTCCTCTGCCATTCTGAAATTAAAACTTTGGTCTCTTAGGTGCAAATCCCTACAAGCTGTCTATGTTGTCCAGGTTGAAGCTGATTGTTTTGCATTATTATTATTATTATTATTATTATTATTATTATTATTATTATTCTCTATTACCAACAATCTTGTCAAAATAGCTGTTAGAGTAGAACAGTCTTTCCTCCTCAGTTCCAATGTTGTCAACAGCTATAACGTTCAATCTAGATGATTTCCAAATCATGGGCTGGCATCTTGTCTGATGTGGTATCAAACCTTTGGTTCTCTAGGTGTTTGGGAATTCAATTCCCAGAATTCCTGAGCAATGGACAAGCTGATCAGGGCTTTTGGAAATTTTAGCGACAATATCTAACAGCCAGTGGGCTGTTAGGAATTGTGGGAGTTCAAAAAGCTCACATTCCTCCTGTTATTTACATCTGGTGTGAAGGTCCAAAACACCTGGAGGGCCGAAGTTTGCCCGTGCCTGCATTAGACTGTTTCATCTTGCTCGTCGTTGAATTTTGTATTAAAATCCCATATTTCTTCCTTTACAAAGTTACTCATTGCCTTTGCAGGCAAATCATTGCTAGAGGTCTACTTGATGTTTTTCGAGATTTCAGTCATAATGAGGAAGATTACTTGACCGTAATGGCAATAGTAGTTCGGCTCTCTGAAGATACAGGTAAAAATTCTGGTTGTTATATCTTTTGTCTCTGAAGTGCCGTTTTATCTTACTGTGTTTGTGTGTGTGTGTGTGTCGAAAAAAATGTATTTTGTCCATCTAGCACATTAATATTGACAGGAACAACTTTTATAGAGTTATAGGTAGGACATTTTGTCAGCCTTACCAAAGATTATTTATTTATTTACGACAAAGGGGACTCAGAGAGGCTTACAAGTTATATGTACATACAATATATTATATTATTAGCATAGCACAATATTAGTATTATATATTACTATATTGTACTATACCACTATACTCTAATATTATTAGTAATATTACATCTAATATAAAATATATAATTATTATATTGTATTATTATTAGTATTATATTGTATTGCACTATAATATTATTAGTAATATTACATGTAATATAAAATATATAATTATTATATTGTATTATTAGCATTATATTGTATTACATTATAATATTATTGATTGAAAGGTCAGCTGTTTGAATCTGGGGAGTGGCATGAGCTCCCACGGTTAACCCCAGCTTCTGCCAACCTAGCAGTTCGAAAACATGCAAATGTGAGTAGATTAATAGGCGGGAAGGTAACGGCGCTCCATGCAGTCATGACCTTGGAGGTGTCTACAGACAATTTGGCTTAGGAATGGAGATGAGCACCAACCGCCAGAGTTGGACATGAGTGGACTTAATGTCAGGGGAAAACCTTCAACCCTGTCAAAACTATATGTGTATATAATCTGTTATTATCACAGCACAATATTAGTATTATATATTACTAAATTGTTGCTGGGGGCTGCAACAATAGATTGCACCTAGTAACATCTGCATTGCCCAAGAAAGTGCTTTACCTAATGTCACTCAAAATGGCTAGAAAAGTGAGACATTAATTAATTAATTCAAATTATTTTCCCCTCTTCTGTCTGTTAAATGTTGTAACTTGAAATAAGTTTGTAGAGAAATTGCTGTTTCCAGAGTTTTATAACGTGGATTTTTGTCTGTGGAATTCCATACATTTACATTTTTGAAACTAACTAAAGATGCTTGCTTTCTAAATCACCAGAGCCAACTGTACGCACAGAATTAATGGAGCAGATACCACCCATTACCATTTTCCTACAGGAAAGTAGGCCAAACTTCCCTACAGCTTTTTCTGAGTATCTTATGCCCATTGTGGTGAGATACCTTACAGATCCAAATAACCAGGTAAAGTTTTTAAGAACTGACTCTATGTAGTTTAATGTAATGCCGTTAGCATTCCTCAGGAGCAATAGCCTCATGGATACATTTACAATAAACAATGGGTATTCATGGGGACTTAAGAGTAATGGGGATTTTTGTAATATTTTTCAGAGTTTGAAACTGATGTATGAAAATGGGAAGATGAGAAAAAATATCTGTTAACTAATGAAATATCTTGTTAAGTGAAAAAACAACCAGATATAAGGGGATTAATTATTTTAAATGTTATATATCTTGTACATAGGGAAAAAAATTAACATCATTATTTTTTGGGTTTTGCGCATTGACAGGTCAGGAAAGCAAGCCAGGATTCGTTACTGATACTACTAGAACAAGGTCTTGTTTCTCAGCCAGATATTGAAAATAAAGTGTGTCCAATCCTGCTGGACCTTTCTGCTCCAGACAGTGATGATGAATACAAAGTAGAAGCAGTAAATGTAAGTAGTAATTTTTGAGTATTTTGAAAGTTTCGTGAACATGTATCAGGGTGCTATGTAGTTTATTTAGCATTTAATATTGTCTACATATTTGAATATTGAAAAACTATAATTTATTTTGGATATTGGCTCATTATTAGGGCCTCTCCAAAGTAGTGTATATCCTGTAATTGGATATGTTCTTCTAGTACTCTAGAGTTATCTTTTAATTTTCTCTGTACAGGGACAATGGGGAACAATTGGCATGAATGACTATCTTTATATGGGTCTACATAAGACCTGCACAACCTGTGGTCCTCCAGTTGTTTTGGATTTCAGCTCCCAGAACTCCTGGTAACTGGAACAGCTGACTAAAGCCTCTGGGAGTTGGAGGCCCAAACACCTGAAGGGCCACTGGTTGTGCAGGTCTGGTCTAGATGCACTTCTCTGTACATTCTGTTAGGATAGACTATTCAGGCAGTTCCCCAGTTACAAACGCCCGACTCACAACTGACTCATAGTTAAGAATGGGGGTGAGACAACGAGAAGTGAGAGAAATCTACTCCTCAGAAGGGAATTTCACTCCTGAAAGAGTTGCCTTGGGGAAAAGGGGTCTCAACTGAAGATTTATCACCAATCCTTGTTTCCACAAGCCAAATTTTTCGAGGTCCAATTATCACATGGACAGAAAGTGAAGTCTTCTGAAGAAGGGCACAGATAGCAAAATAAATACCATGGGGATATTAAGCCTTCCCTATGTTACCCAAAGCTAAAAAAATGTATCTTTGACTGGAATTACACTGAAAAAAAATGTATGTGTTCCGACTTACAAACAAATGTAACTTAAGAACAAACCTACAGAACTTTTCTTGTTTGTAATTTGGTGACTGCCTGTATGCTGTGGCTCAACCCATATTATTTTCCTGCCTGCCGGCACTGCAGATGAGAATATTTGTACATCTTTCGTCCATGCTCCAGCATTTTTAATTTTAACTTTACATTTGGCCTTCCCACAGTTTTAATTGTGTGTTGTCTCATTGATAATGTGGTATTTTTACTGTCTATGTTTTTATGTTAACTGCTGTATTGTTGTTATTATTGCTTGTATTGTTGTGTTTGGGCTCGGCCTCATGTAAGCCTCACCGAGTCCCTTGGGGAGATGGTAGCGGGGTACAAATAAAGTATTATTATTGTCATGCGTTAGCATGAGTAGCATGCAGATTGACTCTAGCCCAGTTAACTGTGTGTGTGATGAATTGGCTCATAAAAGAAAAACACACGAGACTTCGGCTTAAAGTAGAAAAGAAAAATATTGTAGTATTGGCAGCATACAAAACAAAATAGCAGGATTGCTCTTTCCACAGAAGTAACATGAAACAATATCTTCTGAGAGATATCATTACTCAGCCGTGATAAGCAGGAATCCTTGTCCTCTTCACATGGCTGTGTCTTCGCAGGACATCTGCAGCATAGTCCCCGGCTTACACAAGGCAGAATGGCACAGAGGCATAGATGCACAATAGCATAAAGGCACAATGGCAAACACGCACAATGGCAAACACGCACAATGGCAAAGAACTAAACACACAGTAGCTATCTTTATACACATGAAAATAATACTCTCAATTAACTCTTCAATTAACTGAAACAGCTGTAGCACAAACAGCCTTGAACCTTACAGCAACTTAAAGTTATAGCACAAACAACATTGATCCTTACAACAACTTAGATAAAGTACGTTGCAACCTCTTAGTAGCAACATGCCCCTTCACTTTTTCTAAGTTACATTATTTACAGTTTTGTTTTAATTCTACTAGGCCTAACTTTCTGGTTGCTTCACCATGCTTTGCTGCCGTTAGTGGTTTTGTAAAAATATCTGCCAAGTTATCTTCAGACCTACAATAAACCATTTTGATAAATCCTTCCTTGATTAAGGTTCTTATATTTTGATACTTCACTGCTATGTATTTTGTTGTATTCTTCAAACTTTCACTTTCTGACATAGCTATACACGTTTGAGAATCATCATGTACAGTAATAGGCAATTTACATTCCACACCTAAATCATCAAATAACTGTTTAATCCAAAGTAACTCATTTGCAGCTTGAGACAACGCCGCATATTCTGCCTCGGCCGTAGATACTGCAACAGTAGTTTGTTTTCTGGACCTCCAGCAGATTGGAGCCTTCCCATGTAGCACTATGTAACCACTTATAGATTTTCTGTCTCTTTCTTCAGCAAATGAACTGTCAGCGTACATTACCAGTTCTTTGTCAGCTTCTTTTGAAAAACACAAACAATAATTAGCAGTTCCCTTTAAATACCTGATCAACCTTTTTAATGCTAGCCAGTCACTTACTGTTGGTTTTGATACTTTCCTGCTAAGTAAACCTACTGCATATGCAATATCTGGTCGAGTCCAATTTGCAATATGTAAAAGACTTCCAACAAAAGAATGATATAACTTTACATTTTTCAGTTCTCTTGTGTCTTCTAGTCTTAAGAAATCTCCTGTTAAAGGAGTTTGCACAGCATTAGCATCTTGTAAACCTGCTTTAGTGACAAGGTCTAAAATCTTTCTTGTTTGGTTTAGGAATACCACCCCTTCATTGCTAACTACTTCGATGCCTAAATAATGTTTCAAACATCCCAAATCTTTTAGCCTAAAATGCTTTGACAAATACGTATATACAGTTTGTATTTTTGAGTCAGTCTGTGCGGCGATACATAGATCATCTACATAAATTAACACAATTATCTTATCTTTGCCTTTACCTAGTGTATAAACACATGCATCAGCTACACTTTGTTTAAATCCTAATTTCACCAAAACTTCATGTATGCACTGATTCCACCTCCGGGCTGATTGTTTCAATCCATACAATGCTTTTTGAAGACGATAAACCTTTCCTGGTTGAATTTCATATCCAGGTGCTTGCCTCATATATATCTCCTCAGTAATAGTGGCATTTAAATATGCTGTTTCAAAATCAAAATGTTTCAACTTAAATCCTTCTTGCTCAGCCAAAGCAATGATAATTCGCATTGACTCAGCTTTAGCTGTAGGGGCAAAGGTGTTATCATAATTTACGAATTGCTTTTGCGCAAAACCTTGAGCTACGAGCCTAGCTTTATATTTACAACTCCCATCAGGTAAGTCTTTCTTCCTAAAAACCCATCTGCACCCAATCACTGGTTTATCTATTGGTACATCAACAATATCAAACACTTCTAAATTTAACAAAGAATTAAATTCATCATCCATTGCCTTTTTTCCATTTACTTTGTTCTTCAGGATTACAATTATTTAAATCCTGGAAGGTTTCAGGTTCCATTTCTGGTTGGCAAGTCATTACACCCTGAACCACAAACCTATCTGGAGGTATACCTTTGTTTGTTCTTTGTGACCTTCTGGGAATTACTATCTGCTCTTCAGCATCACTTTCCTGTAAATTTAACTCAGGCTCTTCTTTTATAGCATCCTCACATTGTTTCTCAATGTGATTGTCAGGCTCAGATTTTAAATCTATCCCTGTTGGTGCATGTTCCTTTAAATGAAAAAACACTTCACTATTCTGATGAACATGTTCCCAACCTGCATTCTTTTCAAAGTTTGCACTTCTTGAAATCACAATTTTACTATTGTCTTTAATAAAACGATACCCCTTGGTATCTTCCTGGTAGCCGAGAAAACGTAGTCTCTGCCATTTTTTCTGACCTTTTGTTCTAGTTTGTCTAGGTACCAGTACATTAGCATAGCTTCCAAATATTTTAAGATGTTTTAGAACTGGCCTTATCTTATGCAACAAATAATATGTTATCTTATGCAACAAATAATATTTACACATGAACTCCAACTTCTATTCAAGATATATGTAGCAGTGGAAATTGCTTCTGCCCAATACCTATTAGACATTTTTGCATCTACTAACATGCAGTCTTTCATAGTTTTCAAAACGCCTATTTTTCTTTCTGCCACACCATTCTCAGCAGGTGAATATGGGTTTGTTTTATGGTGTCTAATTCCTTTCTTTCTTAACCAGTCTTGAAACTGTGTCCCCATAAACTCTCCACCACGATCAGTCCTTAAACATGATACCTTAAAAGGAAATCTTCTCTCAACCATGGCTACCCACTCTTTGAACTTACTGAAAGCTTGAAACTTTGATTTCAAAATAATACAATAAGTGAATCGTGAAAAATCATCCACTAACACAAATATAAATTTTGCATTTCCAAGCGAAAGAGGAAATGGCCCTGCTAAATCAGCGTGAACTAATTCAAATGGTCTGGTAGTTGTGTTTAAACTTTTCTTAGGTATTGGATGTGCCTTTACTTTTGCTTTAGAGCACACAGCACAGTCTAAATACTTTTGACATGGCTTTACCTCTAAATCAGTCACTTTTGATAGTTTTTGTAGATAATTAAAGTTCACGTGACCAAAAACTCTATGCAAGTAATGAATACAATCACTATGTATAGGTTTGTTATTTACACAGGAAACATTTGGTGAACTATCCTTGTTACTCATCACATATACTTTGTTAACTAATTTACCTTTGGCACACAACTTATTTTCTTTCCATACAGTACACCCAGAGCTATTAAGTTTGATGTCATATCCTTGCAGACACAAACTTGATGCACTTAATAAACAAAAATCAAGTTTTTCAACCAACATAACATTATCTAAATATCTTCTTAAACTAGGAACAAATGCTGAGCCTACAAGCTTGCACTCAGCTAATGATCCATCTGCTAAAGTAACATGATTAATTTCTGGCTTTGTAGTGTTCTTTAACAATTTTAAGTTATTAACACAATGCTCTGCACACCCAGAGTCAAGTAACCATGTGGCCTCATCATACTTAGCCTTTGATAACACAGTCATTACATCAGCATTTCTTCCCCTTGCATTTCTGTCATGCCACCCAGGGTTCCTCTTCATTTCTTCTTTCTTCTTCTTGGGACAGGCCTTGACAAGATGGTTCACATCTCCACAATTGTAGCACCTCCTTACGTTACACACAGCAGGGTTTTTTCTGCATCCAACCCCTTCACAAGCTGCATTTTCTGAAATGGCGTTTGTTTCTTTAAGAAACTGCTTTCTTCTTTCTTCCTCAAGAAGCCTTGCAGAAACCAAATCCAAGGTTAACTTTGCTTCAGGCACACTCTGCATACTGAACACAAAATTGTCCCAACTAGAGTCCAAAGAAGATAACAAAATGAAAGCTTTATGGGTTTCTGTAAACACCATTTGTCTATTTTCCAACTCCATCAACAAGTGCCTGAGCTTTTGCAAATGCTCAGTTATGTTGTCACCCCTTTTTAGCTTCAAATTATAAAGCTGCCGGGTCAAAATAATCTTTATGCCAGAAGTTTCAGTTTGGTAAACTTCCTTTAACTTCTGCCAACAGTCTGCTGCAGATATAGTGTCCCTTAAGTAAATTAATTGCCCGTCCTCAACAGCGAGAAAAATGCTCGCCCTGGCAATTTGGTCTTGCTTTTTTACCTCTTCACTCGAAGCTGCTGTAGGTGAGGTCTCAACCACAGTCCATAAATTTTCTCTTATGAGAAAACTCTTCATTTTCACGTTCCAAGCCATGTAATTGTAAGCATTTAAACGCTCAAATGGTAAGCTTTCCATATGACGAGCCATAGCTGCTTACTTTTCTATTTAAGCACAAAAACACACACAAAAAACTCTCCCAAAATCTCAGAGTTATGGGCTTTAGAGTCCTTATGCCGCTATGCTGGGCCCATAACCTATGTCATGCGTTAGCATGAGTAGCATGCAGATTGACTCTAGCCCAGTTAACTGTGTGTGTGATGAATTGGCTCATAAAAGAAAAACACACGAGACTTCGGCTTAAAGTAGAAAAGAAAAATATTGTAGTATTGGCAGCATACAAAACAAAATAGCAGGATTGCTCTTTCCACAGAAGTAACATGAAACAATATCTTCTGAGAGATATCATTACTCAGCCGTGATAAGCAGGAATCCTTGTCCTCTTCACATGGCTGTGTCTTCGCAGGACATCTGCAGCATAGTCCCCGGCTTACACAAGGCAGAATGGCACAGAGACATAGATGCACAATAGCATAAAGGCACAATGGCAAACACGCACAATGGCAAACACGCACAATGGCAAAGAACTAAACACACAGTAGCTATCTTTATACACATGAAAATAATACTCTCAATTAACTCTTCAATTAACTGAAACAGCTGTAGCACAAACAGCCTTGAACCTTACAGCAACTTAAAGTTATAGCACAAACAACATTGATCCTTACAACAACTTAGATAAAGTACGTTGCAACCTCTTAGTAGCAACTATTATTATTATTATTATTATTATTATTATTATTACATGGCACCTAAACAGAACAGACCAAGGAAGAAAAATAATGGTGTTTGAGGAATGTAGCACTACCCTGTCCTTTCTGAGAACAAAGGACAACAGATGTTTCTGGTATAACATCCAGATGTCAAGCTAGTTGCGTATCATCTGGTTATGTGTAGGAATGCCTTATGGAATGGAAGTAAAACTTGACTAAAAAAGGTAGTCTTCCATTGATTCCATTACCCTTGGTATGGATCTCCAGCAGTCATATGCCCAAATCTATAGCTTAGAATTTTTGCAGCCATTTTAGAAAATGGCTTCTATAAATTTATGCCAGTTTTCATGTGTTGTCTCTTCTTTTGTTTCTCCTCTCCTGAGAACTTTGCTAGACACCAAAGGGCAGTAGTAATTGGTAACTTTAACAGCCGTAGCCACATATGGGGCTATGCTCAGAAGAATAAAAATTGAAAGGCTATCCCTTCCTTGGCTGAATTGCATAAACTATTGTTTATTTATGATAGTAAGCTCCCGCCATCGTACAACATGGGGAGATGGCACCAAGGATATAATTCCTCTTTGTGAGTGACAGCATTGCGCATGAAATGCAGGGAGACCACCAATACCAAACATACAGCATCGACCGATAGTATGCCAATTGTTCTCAACTATAATGCCTCAGGAAGTTCGATTTACACAAAGACTCAACTTCAGAAAGGCAGATTGGTCCAAATTCTCAGATACGTTAGATGATAAGATCATATCGGTTGCACCCACCTCTGAGGAATATGAGCGCCTCATCAAAATAGTAATGTGTTGTCTACTCAAATGTGCAGTTTTATCTCAGCAGAAATCATTGTCAGAAATTATTTTCCTATAGAAAAGAGCTAAGCCTATATACAATTGCATAGATAACAATTTTAAAGGTGAGGGAAGGGGGAAGACATGTTTCCCATCTTAGTATATTAAAGATATTAAAAAACCCAGACTTAGATGTATGATGAGAATGACCTATCAATCTGTCATTCTGACTAGGAAGCCACCAATCATGTCCTGGCACAATGCTATTTTCAGTGCAAGCTGCTTGTCACTTTTAAAAGCTGCAGAGATCTAAAAGCTGATCACGTTCTACCATGGGGAATTGGTGATCTAGAGTCTTTTGCACTGAGTCTGAATTATTTTTTAAAGGGTTTGGATTAAAAGGCAGCTTGAAAGTTTATTGAAAAGTATGTCAGATTATATAGTTACATTTAGCCCTTAACTTTAGAATACATGGAGAGACAACTTCTAACTGTCCAAATGTAAAATCTTCAGTTGTGACTGTGCTGAAGAAATTGTGTCAAGGACTGTAAATGTTAAGTTAATTTTCCTTTCTTTTGAAGTTATTGATACATATATCCATATAATAGAAAATATGCCAATATACACTTGAACTTATTCGGTTGTGCAGCAATGTTTTTAAAATCCAGGTTAGTCAAATGTAGAATGGACTAACTGTTTACTAGGAAGGAAATGCCAAAATACTGAGTTTTTAAAAACAAATTTTCTTCTGCTAGAAAATTTAAACTTTGGAGAAGCCTCCCCAAAAATAACGTTGATTATTCCAGACTGTCACACATTCAATTTCAGTGGACTATAATCTGGCAACTTTTCTTAATGGTACTATCATAAAACTATGTTTTCCCCTTACATAAATGTCTAGAAAAGTAGATAAAATATTTCATTTTTTTGTCAGTTTTAGGTAGTAAAATGCAGATTATGAATAGTTTTAATTTTCAAATGCTATGAGTTCTTCAGTTCATTTTCAAGAAATAATTTGTGTCACTGCAAAATCTGAACGTTTATGGTTTCATTTCAGTGTGGAGGCCTGACACTTCATCCATAAAATGACTTTAACAGCTACGTTGCAGTATTCCGTTTGGGAATTGCTTGGGCCAGCTTCCAAAATAACATTGGAATGCCAGATGTCTTTTTTAAAAACTGACAATTCCATTAAAATCCAATTCCATTGGATAATGTCCCCAATTTTTTCTTGGCATTTTTTCCCCACAAAGTTGGAGTCCTCTGAGCAATAATGTATTTTTTTCAAATAACTAAAGGTAAAGATTTCCCCTGACATTAAGTCCAGTTGGATCCGACTCTGAGGGTGTGACCTCACAACCTCTGAGGATGCCTGCCATAGATGTAGATGAAACATCAGGAGAGAATGATTCTAGAACATGGCCATACAGCCCGTAAAACCTACAACAACCCAGTTTATTCTATGTATGTAATCTATAATGTGATCCTTGATTGTCCTGCTCTGGTCATTCAATCACTCCTTTATTCCAGGAGAATCCAGATCCAGGAAGCACTTTTGCATAGTTAATCTGTAAAATTCACTATCCAAATAATTTGTGATACTTGTTCAACTTGTATAGCTTTGAAAGGGAATGGAATATATGTATAGCGGATTTGAGTGTTTTCAAGGGAAAATTTAACATGGAAATAAAGGTCATAACTCTTTCCCTCAATAGATAATATGCAAAATGTCTTCAATTGTCAACAAATCGACTGTTGAACGCCTGCTTCTTTCTCGTTTCTGTGAGCTCTGTAGTGACGGGAAGCTTTTTCAAGTTCGGAAGGTTAGTTTTTCAAATTTGAACTCTCTTTAACCAAACATAGGGTTTTCTCTTTCATTTAAAGGTGATATCTTGCGGTTTATCTTGAGTTACCACATAGTTTTTCTGGGGTGCGACCAGGGGCAACAGAATAAGCCAGATATCATTGATGGCATACAGGGAGCATTCAACCCCCCTGTTATGTCCGCTCCACTGGCTGCCTATCTGCTACCAAGCACAATTCAAAGTGCTGGCTTTAGTGTATAAAGCCCTAAATGGTTCTGGTCCTGCATATTTGTCCGAACATATCTCCTCTTATGAACAATCTCAGATATTAAGATTGCCTGGGGAAGCCCTGCTCTTTGTCCCACCTTTGCAGGCATGGTTGGTGGGGACAAGGTAGTTCTCAGTGGTGGCCCCTTGGCTATGGAAATCTCTCCCCAGTGAAATCAGATCAGCACCCTCCCTCCTAAGCAATAGAAAGAAATAGACGATATGGCTCTGGGACCAAGCCTTTGGGTAGAAATGCAATGCAATTGGCACAATCATGACTGGAATGGCCTTGACTTCCATTACTGATTGCATGGTTTTTAACAATTGGTTTTAATGTTTATATGCTTTTTTAATTTTATGTTTTTAATATGTATGTTCTTTTATTTTCTGTTGTTTGATAAGGTATCAAATTGTTGCCTATTGTAAGGCGCCCTGAATCCCCTTCGGGTGAGAAAGGTGGGGTACAAATGCAGTAAATAAAAATCTATATAAATAAAAATGTAATGTTTGTTTGTGGGATTAACATAACTCAAAAACCACTAGATGAATTGACACCAAATTTGGACACAATACACATATCATGCCAACGAGTGACCATCACTCATTAAAACACTGAAAAACACAGCAGAAGAGACATTAAAAGCCAAAAAAAAAACCCCATTACAACACATGTATACACAAACAAACAAACATATATACACATATACACAAATATATACACACACATAAATGCATATATATACACACAAAACACATATATACAGACAGGGACACAGCCACGTGTGGCAGGGGATGGCTAGTAAAAATATATAGACAGTGCAAAGGGGTTGCCCCACTTCAAAGAAAAGGGGTTTCAGGAGAGAGAACTTTCGATTTATTATTTATTATTCTTAATGGTGCCACCAATCTGTGATGTGAGGTAATTTTGGGAGATTGGGCACACTGAACGCAGAATTAATGGAGATGAGGCAGTCTTAAAATCAAAGAGAACAAGTTTATTTTGAAACAAAGCGTATGGTTGCAGTTTGGTGATAAACTTGGAAGATACTTGGAGAACGTTACATATAACTTGGTTGCGATACAGTACAGACTTCTGATGTTACAACTTATCAATAACTTTTGCTGTGGTGAAGCACTTTATTAAACAATGGTTCCTGAGGTGAATAGTCTTCCTGTTTGATCCTTCCGTGATCAAACCTCAGATCTCTAGTTCACTTTTAACTAGTGATCTAAACAAGCTTCTATTAGTCTTCTCTAACTAATGAAACTAATAAGGTTTCCCCTTCAGCCTTCCTAAACTGAAGAAACCTCTGACTATTCACAAACACTGCTTCTCTACTTCCCACTCTCTCTCTCAACACTTCATTTCCCTGAGCCTAAAACCTGACTCTTCATTCCTCTGAGCCTAAACCCTAACTCTTCATTCCTCTGAGCCTAAACCCTAACTGACTTTAACTGTCGCTTTTAAAAACTCTCCTCTCTAAGCTCCTCCCACTTCTCTACAGCATCGTTTCCATGGTAACACACTCCTCACAGCTAAGCCGCTCCAGCATTAGGGCAACCAGTGCAAACACAAATACAGTTATAATCATATCATTTACAATCAACTTCTGTACAACAGCCACATGTGTTGTCTTGTCATCCTATTATTCTATGGTGAAACAGCGGATTTAAATCTTTATTTTGTTAAGAACTGCGATTAAATCAAAATATGTATAAAGAAAGAAATTGAGAGTGAGAAATTAGCTCAAATGTTCAGAAAACAACCAATCCCTCTCACTTACTCTCTTTTTTGACTTTAGGTTTGTGCAGCGAACTTTGGAGATATTTGCAGTGCTGTTGGGCAAGAGGCCACAGAAAATAATTTGGTATGTTGGCATTTGGAACACACAAATCAGAGGTCTTGGAGGCAAAATTATTTCAATTTGGAGAGCCCAAGTTTGCCCATGCCTGTACTATAGTGACATGGAATTAGGTGAAATCTAATCTTTGAAGAAAGGGAAGAGTTCAGTAATACATGCTTTTTAATTGTGTGCCGTAAAGGGTCCAGATTAGAAAGTCCTGATCTGTGTGACTTGTGAATACAAGAGATGGGATTGGTAAGAGCGAGTGACAGGACACTATGTAACTGTCATTTAAAAAAGAAATAATTCAGTATTTTATAGGAACACCCCAGAACTAGATACTTGCTCAATTGAGTCCTTTTTGCCCTCTAGCTAAAACTTCAGTCATGCTTGATCTTTAGCTATCTACGGTGGTGACTGCTATTGATAACTTCATTTTGCAAGGGTAATCCTTTGGTGTTAACTTTCCTTCTTTGAGCCTTGCTGAAAGGACATGAATATTTTTGAAGTTATCTGACCCTGCTGCCAGCTTCTCATTATATAGACTGAAATAAATCAGATTGGCAGTCCCAAACAACTTATGTAGCTTTCTGCTAGAAGATGTGCATTTACTTAGAAGTTTGAAACACAAGCATATCCTGTGTAGCCAAAATGTCGCTGATACGAATATTTGTATTTATTTGCTGTTTAATTGTTAGGTATCATTTGCTGCTCTTCATTAAAAAACTACTAACCAAGTGGACATTTTGAAATAAATATTCTATACCCCAGTCCTTTAAAAATTGTTTGGGAAAAATTACTTTAAAATATTTGAAAGGTCTGCACTACCATTGAAATCCACAAGCATGTGGACAATTTCAACAGAAAGGAGGAAACCATGAAAATGAACAAAATCTGGCTACTAGTAATACTCTAAAATCAAGACAGTAAAGAAAGAACAACACTAAAAAACTGGGGAATTCTAGACAGGGAACAATCAGAGCCTGCTAGCACCTCCCAACAAAGGATTCCCCCAGGAAGCAATCAGCCAGGCTTTGAAGCTACAAGGCATTAAATGCTAATTAAAATTGCCAATTGCGACATTCACATTTGCCTCTAGCAGTCAAGAGTTCTTTCTCCCACCTTGGACATTCCACGGATATATAAATAAACCTCACTTGCCTAGTTTCCAGCAGACCTCACAACATCTGAGGATGCCTGCCATAGATGCGGGCAAAACGTCAGGAGAGAATGCTTCTGGAACATGGCCATACAGCCCGAAAAACTTACAGTAACCCAGTGATTCTGGCCATGAAAGCCTTCGACAATACATCAGGAGAGAATGCTTCTGGAACATGGCCACATAGCCTTGAAAACTCACAGCAACCTAGTAAAAAGGCTATTTTAAGAACTCCTTGACTTGTGACATTTTCTCTTTATTGTGGCAGATTCCAAAGTTTTTTGAGCTCTGCTCTGACAGTGTTTGGGGCATGCGGAAAGCCTGTGCCGAGTGCTTTATGGCTGTTTCTTATACCATTTCGCCTGAAGTTCGGAGGACCAAGTTGTCTCCCCTCTTTATCAACCTCATCAGTGACCCATGCAGATGGGTGAGTGGGGTGGATTTGTAAATCTTGCATTACCATTTATACAATTAAATGACTGATCTGTCCTTTGATTCAGGGAAGCAAATTCAAGGGACTATGACCCAAAAGTGGCAACTATTAATGGATAGAATTTTTAATGTGATTTTTTTCCTCCATCACCATCTACTCATTTGCATATAATTAAAATTCTGTTTCTGATTGATAATACATGGCGGAAACCTTAATTAGTCAATGTCTGGTGCTATGACCAGTTGTCAGAACAGAATAATAATAATCGGCATTCTTATGGCATTACATTTTTATCAAAGGTGTTTGGCAAAGTTATTTTTTGAAGTAAATATTTCAGATTTACCCAGCCAGCATAGCTCTTCATGTTGGCTGGAGATTCTTCCCCCAAAAAGTAATGTTTCTAAGCTGTAAAAAATTGTTAGTTTTTCTCCTTTTACTTCTGTGAAAAGAACGAGTATGACATTTTTAAATTTTGACTTTTGTTCTGTTGTAAACTTTTATGGCTCTGATGCAACATCTCTATGTCTGTAGACTCACATCCCTTGACGTAATGCCATTCTGTAATTGCACCTAAGTATGTGCAACTGACATAAACATTTATTTTTTTCCTTTTGTTGCTTCATGACATTGCCATCACCTTTTTCTATTTTTACCAACATGTTAACATTTAGATTGCAGAACAAGGGAAGTGTCCTGTTATATTTTTAAAATGTCATGTATATTATGGATCTATTAAATTATAAGGACTCATTGGTGGTACAGCGGGTTAAACCGCTGAGCTGCGTACAAGCTGCCTGAAAGATTGGTGGTTCGAACCCGGGAAGTGAGGTGAGCTCCCTCCAGCTTCTGCCAACCTAGCAGTATGAAAATATGCAAATGTGAGTAGATCAATAGGTACCGCTCTGCTGGGAAGGTAGCAACGCTCCATGCAGTCATGCCGGCCACTTGACCTTGGAGGTTTCTATGGACAACGCCAGGTCTTTGGTTTAGAAATGGAGATGAGTACCACCTCCCAGAGTCAGACACAACTCTGTCAAGTGGAAACCTTTACCTTTTATAAATTACATATACCAAGGGCTTTCACATTTTTTCAGTTTCTGTGCTGAGCTCCTCCAATTTGTTTTGATAAATCAGAGCAAAAACTGCAACAAAATAAATTAGAAGATGTATCATTATTTCCCATCTATTAATGATCAAAGAAAATTATATCTGTGTTCTGTGACTGTTTAGGCATTGCCCATTTGTGAACATGTGCATACTTGCACCCTCAAATTCTGAATTGCTCAGCGGTTTAACCCGCTGCACCACCAAGGGGTTTGTTTACTGCAAGTGATATGGCAGAATCTGTGATACATACAGCCATGGTAGTCTGATTCATTATTGCTGTAATCTTGAACAAATGTAGGAAAATATTATGTGTATATCGTTTCTTAATTGGCTCCCTTTCAAATGTAGACACATAAACTTTTCTGTGAATGTTGGGGGAAACATCCTCTATATGATGTTTGTTTAGGTTATAAAATGACACATTATAAAACAAAGTATATGTCTTATTTGATTTGCAGTTTCCTTATCTCTATATACTTAAAAGCAGTGGGAGGGGCTGCAGGTCACGTGACCGACTCAGTGACAGTTCAGAATGTTCAGGTTTAAACAGGATGACAGTTAGGGAATGTCAGTTGAGGAATGACTGTTAGAGAAATGTGTTGAACCTCGAATGAGCTTGAGTATAGACGTTTGTCAGAGTGCAGAAGCTCATGTTAGGAAGTTAAAAAACAAACCTCAACAGTTTCTATTTGGAAGTAAACTCTTATTAATGAGAGCTGCATAAAGCAACGTAGTTTGTGAAGAAACTGTTAAAGATTATGAGTTCAACATACAAACTCTCTGAAATGTTACTGTAGTTTTTGTGGCGTAATGTAAAATGAACCACGTGTACTTCACATAGGATCAACCCACACACTGCCATGCGAAAGAAAGAAAATATGCCATGCAGGTGAAAAGAACAAGTAGTTTACTCTTCTTAATTCAGAACAACATATGTACAGTATGTCAGTTGCATCAACTCACGAAATGTACTTTTAGAGAGATTTAAAATGGTATTTCTTTGTCCATATGAGAGACCTCCTTTCAACAGCCAAGAAGTAAATCGGTTTGTCTCTCTCCGCTTCTCTCTTCATCTCTCTGTAGTTGCATAGCTTGAGCCTGAGCAAAAATGCAACAGTATCCAAAAGTTCTAGGCTCAGCCATCACCTCGGGCATTGCCTGACCAATCAACTTCACACATCTTATTTTACAGTTGGCACACACACACACACACACACACACACACACACACACACACACACTGATTGCTTGCATGCTCCAATGTTTTGTAACCCTTAACAAGAAATAAGTCTGTATCTTTAAATACATGAAGCTATCAGTAAACAAAACTTGTTATCTTTAAAAGAAGTCTGCTTGCATCATTGTCTGCTGAAAACATCAAACAGAAACAAAATATCTGCATTCCCAGCAGTCATCATTACCAAACAGACTTCGCTATTCTAATTAGATTGTGATCCTAACAGTTTATGATCTATATACCCTGATGCTCAGTGATCCTAACAGGTCATGATCCATTCTCCCCAATAGTGAATTGTTAGATATGCTTTCTGAATTACTCTGAATTAGGAGTATAGTGCTAGATCCAGGGAAGTCATGCTACCCCTCTATTCTGCCTTGGTTTGACCACACTTGGAATACTGTGTCCAATTCTGGGCACCCCAATTTAAGCGATATATTGACAAGCTGGAATGTGTCCAGAGGAGGGCGACTAAAATGATCAAGGGTCTGGAGAACAAGCCCTATGAGGAGTGGCTTAAAAAGCTGGCATGTTTAGCCTGAAGAAGAGAAGGCTGAGAGGAGACATGATAGCCATGTATAAGTATGTGAGAGGAAGTTATACGGAGGAGGGAGCAAGCTTGTTTTCTGCTGCCCTGGAGACTAAGACATGGAACAATGGCTTCAAACTACACGAAAGGAGATTCCATCTGAACATGAGGAAGAACTTCCTGACTGTGAGAGCTGTTCAGCAGTGGAACTCTCTGCCCTGGAGTGTGGTGGAGACTATTAAACAGAGGATGGATGGCCATCTGTCGGGGGTGATTTGAATGTGATTTTCCTGCTTCTTGGTAGAATTGGGTTGGACTGGATGGCCCATGAGGTCTCTTCCAACTTTACGATTCTATGATTTTATGAATTCTAGTTCATTTCTTTCTGGATTGTCAGCAAATGAATAAAATAAAGCGATGTACCTCAAGCTACATTCTGCATGAGCATCTGGGACAGCATTCCTTCTTGGTCCCTGGATTTTAAATAGATGAGCAACTGTCTGCTTTACAAGTGCTGGGTGCATATTTAAAGAGTATCCAAGGACTGAATCAAGAGGATCACTTCTCAAGTTTCGTATTAGTTTTCCCACGCCTAAAGAAAGAAACAGGCTTGTATAATTTCCATTGCCACAATAGTGATAGATTTACAGCAGAATATCTTAAGACACTATTTGACTTTGTTCTGTTGGTTCAGATTCATGGAATATTTAAAATCTTACTCATTAATGGTATCAAATTATGGGACAACATCTGCTCTTGCTGGAAATTGTGAACTTAACATTGAATGTTGGTTTCCTGATTAATCCAAAGAAAATATGTTCCATCAAAGTCAGATTCAAGGTGTCTTTTTAATTTTTGAATATTCTAGGTACGTCAAGCTGCTTTCCAGTCACTTGGGCCATTTATTTCTACTTTTGCAAACCCTTCCAGTGCTGGCCTTTATATTCGAGAGGATGGGACGCTCAGTATCCGACCTTCCAGTCCCTGTCCAGCTGCCAAAAATGCAAACAGCGTGTCATCTAGGTATGATGATTTGGCAATAAAGATTTAAAGGGGTAACTTGAACCCCCAAATTCTGCTTTTTTGTGCAAGGTTGAAAACTGAAAATAAACTGTTAATAGATTGTCTTCTGTAGGTTTTACAGATCAGAGATTTTAGCTTTATTGATTGTACTTTCAATACATTGATGTTTATAACTTGTGTAATAAAATAAAATAGGATTACCATGAACTATATAAATAATCATCAAAATGTGTAGGAATATACTATAGCTAATTTCAGGCCACATTTGTTGCTCATAAGATCAGATAAGCTTGTGACGAGAAGTGAGTAAATGTTTACCTTGAGATAAATATCTTTGTCAAAGCAGTTACTTCAGAAATGTGAAGCAAAAACTTTACTGCTTAGTAAATTGTACATTTCAGATCACTTTTGAAAAGTGGCCATGGATAGATTTTTTAATATAAATTTTCTTCTTTTCCCATCACCATCTGCTCATTTGTATACAATTAAAATTTTAAAAAGTGATCTAATGAGACAGTTTTAGTCTTGGAAGAGATAACCTGCTACTTTGATCTACGTGTAATGTTTTTCTACTTGGAATCTGAGTGATTCTGTCATTATTTGTTTCTTGTTTTTGCTGTTCTTTTTCTGCATCCTCTGAGGATGCCTGCCATAGATGCAGGCAAAACGTCAGGCGAGATTGCTTCTAAAACATGACCATATAGCCCAAAAAACCTACAACAATCCAGTGATTCTGGCCATGAAATCCTTCAACAATAAATTGCAAGAGCCTTTGTTTAATACAGTTTTTTTTTCGTGTCAGGAGCAGCCTGAGAAACTGCAAGTTGCTTCTGGTGGCGACTTGTTTAATACAGTAATAGTTACGAAATTTGTTACACTTCAATTTTCTTTTCAGTTCTGAGGAGCCAACCGAAAATAAATTGGAAACATTGACAGAGAAGTCTTCTGTTAACTGCACTGCATCAAGTTCAGGTGCACAAGAAGAAAGTTCACCCGGACGTGTTAATTTTGGAGTTAATCAAATTATATTCAATCAGAGTCACAATGCTGGTCCTTTTGTGACTAAAGATATTAAAGACTGTGAAGTCAACAGTTATCAGGGAATGAACTCAGGAGTCCAGTCTGCTGATGATGTGTTTAATACTTTCTTATACTGGCGTCCACCTCTTCCTGACATTAGCCAGGATTTGGAGCTGCTTCAGTGCAAAACTGAGATACATGAAGGGACCTGCTCAATGTCTGAAGTTCTGTGCAATAACTGTGTGGCCAGCAGTGAGATTAAAAAAGTTCTGCAGAGTTTGCAGGAGCATATGGATGACCCAGATGTTCAAGGTAAAAGACTTCCTTCTCCATGTATTACAGTTTTTACAAGTCATCTGTCCACGGTGGTTCTTGTGGTTTCTTGATTATGATAAAGGACCATTTACAGACCTGAATGCAGTAATCTTGTACAGCAATAAACTTGTGTTGTTCAAAAACTGATAGCTAGGAAATGTATTTCTTGAACATCAGTTGACTCTTATTGCGTGAACTGTCCTGGATGGGAGATAGACAGCAATACTGATGCTGTTAAAGATGTCAACTGCACCCCGCCTCCTTGCCTGAAAACTGCATATGCCCTGAATTATCCTCCAGAAAAATAAGGTTTCTGGTGCAGCAGGTTGAACCACCAAGCTGCTGAACTTGCTGACCAAAAAGTTGCCGGTTCCAATCCAGGGAGCGGAGTGAGCTCCTGCTGTTAGCCCCAGCTTCTGCCAACCTAACAGTTCGAAACATGCAAATGTAGATCAATAGGTACCGCTTCTCCAGGAAGGTAACGGCACTCCATGCAGTCATACTAGCCACATGACCTTGGAGGCATCTATGGACAACGCCGGCTCTTTGGCTTAGAAATGGAGATGAGCACTATCCCCCAGAGTTGGACTTGACTAGACTTAATGTCAGGGGAAACCTTTACCATTATGAGTTGATCTCAAGGCCCTTGATATCATATATGTATCTTCAAATGTGGTTTGTCTAAGTCAAGCGTAGTTTTCCTAAGTGAGACTAAATAAATCTTGGACTCAAATGCTTTGACTCCTGAATATATTTACTTTAGAAGTAAATCTCGCCATATTCAATAATTTACTTACAGTCTTAGTTACCAGTTTCCTAGTACAGTACTTTTCAGGCTATCTATTGTGAGAACAACTTTTTTTCCAACTTGCCTGGATGGGCACTAACTTTGGGCCCATTGAGTACAGTTGCTCCATTTCCTGGGAACTTGCAGGGACCAGCAACCACTGCCTTTACTCCAGGTAGTACCCCTTTGAGGCACATTATCCTAGTAGATAATTTGATTGGAAAACAGCTCATCTAAATACTGCTTTGGTGGGAAGGTAACAGCGCTTCATGCAGTCATGCTGGTCACATCTCCTTGGAGGTGTCTACGAACAATGCCAACTCTTCAGCTTAGAAATGGAAATGAGCACCACACTCCAGAGTTGGACATGACTAGGTATAAAGCTGAGTAATAACCAAATACAGATGTATAAGCTATGAGAAATAACATATAAGAAATAATGCAAGTGAGAAAAAGAGTAGAAATGTTCAAGTAGTACTGAGCTTTTTCTCCCTCGATTTGTGGACTTTGTATTTCTATAGCTCTAAATGTTGAATTTATTTATTTATTTATTTGCTTTATTTCTATACCGCATTTTTCAGCCCTTAACAGGCGACTCAATGCGGTTTACATGGTACAATTATCAAACAGTGTCAGTGCAATTAAAACATAACAATGCAACAAACAGGATCAACAGCATCAATCCACAACAGTTAACAATCAACAAGACAGATCAACAAAACAGACATAACATAACGCCTCAGTTGAAATCAGATCCGTTCTCATAATCCTTGTGCCATTCCTATGTTCCATTTACCGTCTTCCTATGATTGGTTGCACTGCTTAACCAAACGCTTGTTCATAAAGCCAGATCTTAACCATTCTCCGAAACGTCAGCAGCGAAGGTGCCTGTCTGATGTCTACCGGTAGGGCATTCCATAGCCGAGGGGCCACCACTGAGAAGGCCCTGTCTCTCGTCCCCGCCAAGCGGGGACAATTTAAATAAGTCTTTATTGAATGTCATCCTTTACCAATCCATAAGTTATTGTTTTTTTAAAAAAGAGAAAAGCTTCTGCATCTAGGAGTATAGTATTGCCATCATGGCTAATACCAATCATCTTATCCTTAGTTAATTTTTCTAATGCCCTTTTGAAGGAAGAACTGTAGAAATGTTGTTTCACAATACATGATAAAGTTACCTGTTCGTGTTTTTCTTTTTAAAGACAGTAATGTAGCCAAATATTGTTATGAAGTTGAAAAGGAAATGCATGAAAACTAATTCAGTGAGATTGGTTCCATCTAATTAGCTCAGGTCCAAGTATTATCTGCTGCACTCAGAGCTGCTCATCTGGATTCAGTCAGCGACTATGCCATCAAACAGAATGAAGAAGTTAATGGTGACCCCAAGGAAGATGCAGCCGTTTTGGACCTTGAAACAAGTACAGTGAATGAGAGCAATCTGTCTTCATTACCAAGCCAGGAGGAGGTGATTAATCCATCCACTCCAACTGTGATTAAAAATGTGGTAAGTATGCTTTCCTCAGTGGATTGACACCAACCTTTGCTGGCTGTTCATTTTGCACTACTAAAGGCTTCTATTTGTTTATTTTTATTTTTAGTCTGCTACCCTGAAAATGGGCCCCCTGATAGCGCAGCGGGTTAAACTGCTGAGCTGCTGAACTTGCTGACTGAAAGGTTGGCGGTTCGAATCCAGGGAGTGAGGTGAGCTCCCACTGTTAGGCCCAGCTTCTGCCAACATAGCAGTTCAAAAACATGCAAATGTGCATAGATCAATAGGTACCACCTTGGTGGGAATGTAACGGCACTCCATGCAGTCATGCTGGCCACATAACCTTGGAGGTGTCTACAGGCAATGCCGGCTCTTCACCTTAGAAATGGAGATGAGTACCACCCCTGAGAGTTGGACACGACTAGACTTAATGTCAGGGGAAACCTTTAACCTTTACCTTTACCCTGAAAATATGAATGAAAGAAAAAAGAAACCATATTGTAACTATGAGGGGTTGCGAAATTATACCCACTGCTGTCTGAACCCCAGCCTATGAAATCCAGCCAAATACCAAGACTTTGTAGTATTTCCAGTAAATGCTTAGACTGGGAAATTCCAATGAGGAGGGAGTTCGAAAAGTACAATTGACCACTGAGAATGACTCCCTCAGTGGTTTAAGGAAAAATGAAAAGCAGAGTGATGGTAATGGATTGCGTAGAAGAATAAATAAAATTCAAAATTTTCTGCTAGATGAGCCAAAGCAAATACGGCATATATTGGTGAATTGGTTTTCCCTGAGTAAATATTGGACTACTTTGTCAATGTTTTCTTAAAACTGGAATGTAGAATCATTATACTGTTGGTGCAGACTAGCACATCTGAAGCTGGTCATGCTGATAGTAATTAAAAATGAATTAGCCAATACCATATCTCTTTAAGAACATAATCTGGGGAAAAGATTATATTTTAAATTTAAGAGTAAGTCAACATGCTCAACTTTAGACTCAAGTAATATTTCCTACAAATGTTTCTTAGGAGATTCACATTTATTCAGTAACAGTAGCAATAAGCCATCTGGATGTGATATCAACCCTGATATGCATTGGCCTTAACAGATATTTTGAACTTCCATAAGCTTCTGTATAAGGTATTTTAAGCTTCAAATATGGATAAATGCCTGATGTAACCTGGCCTGCATTTTTACAAAGATTGAATGCATTTCTTACTAATACATTTGTTCCAATCTCGATAAAATAGTGTAGAGTAGAGACGTCACACTGGCAACAAAGATCCACATAGTTAAAGCCATGGTATTCCCCATAGTCACCTACGGATGTGAGAGCTGGACCATAGGGGAGGCTGAGCAAAGGAAGATAGATGCTTTTGAACCGTGGTGTTGGAGGAAAGTTCTGAGAGTGCCTTGGACCACAAGAAGATCCAACCAGTCCATACTTCAGGAAATAAAGCCTGACTGCTCATTGGAGGGAAGGATAATAGAGGCCAAGATTAAGTACTTTGGCCACATCATGAGAAGAAAGGAAAGCTTAGAGAAGACAATGATGCTGGGGAAAGTGGAAGGAAAAAGGAAGAGGGGCCGACCAAGGGCAAGATGGATGGATGGCATCGTTGATTTGACTGGATTGACCTTGAAGGAGCTGGGGGTGGTGACGGCTGATAGGGAGCTCTGGCGTGGGCTGGTCCATGAGGTCACTGAATGAATAAACAACAACATTTGTATTGTCTTGCATTTTAATTATTTATAGTGCTTCTCATATTTTTTTGCAGGAGTTAGAAGAGCAACAGAATGGGACCAGTAAAGTTTTAGAGGCTGATGAGAATGAACCACTTCTGGAAGAGGATAAATCAAAATTACAGGTTGTTTTAAACATTTGTTAATATAGTAGAGGAAAGTTCAGTTTTCATAATGGAAACAGTCTTGGTAACTTGGGTGTCAGAATCTGAACTTACTTAGCTACCACGTATAAGAGATAAAAAGCCTCATTGGACATTACTTTGTAAATTTGGTTCTAAATGTGTAGGATTCTAGGTCATACACTGATGTTGTCTTTCTTTCTGACTCTCATTCCTTACAATATTATATTTACTCATTTGAGCAACTTGCAGTTTCTCTGGTCGCTCCTGACACACACACACATATATGTACATACACACTCAGTGTGGGGTGCATAATGGGAAATCCTGAACATAATATTTGGCTTGGAGAAAAGCTACTTGCTACTTGGAAAGAGAAGTATCTTACTGACTGTTACACTGGTTTCAGAAGATAATATATGACCCAGTCCTAAATCAGATTGTATTCTTGGAATAATCTGTGTAAACAAAATGTTGAGATGCTGATAGCTTGTTAATTATTTCTGAACAATCGGTCCACATATTACGCAAGGGTTTTGTTCCAGGACCTTTTGCATAATATGATTTCATATATAATCTTTTTCAGAGAGATTTCTCTGATTGGATCTTGTTCATAACTGAAAATGCTTCTGAAAGCTAAAAGTACTCTATAGTCAAAATATCCACCCCCCCACCCTTTGTTCACATGCTACATCACAGAGGTAAGAGTAGTGAAGGAAAGACTCACATATTGGGATCCAGGCTTTCTGCATTCAGCAGAATATATTATAGCCATTCCAATGTTAGGAAATCACAAACACTGAGAAGTACTCATGAAAAAAAGGGTTGAAAGCAACTAATCTACAAAAGAGTGAATGAGAGATTTGTTAGTAGCTGTTTCCATGCACAGGTGCATAATTAGATCTGCGTCTCCTACTTAATAACAACCAGACACAATCTCTCCATGTCCCTTTGTCACTCAATGAATGGTGGCAATCAGTTTTCAGTGTCTTCAGCCTTCTGCAGAGGAATACCAGTTTTATGTGTTGTCAAAGGCTTTCATGGCCAGAAACAACCTGGAAAACTCACAGCAACACAATACCAGTTTTGTTTCATTGGTGGAGGGACTTGTAGATATTGACTCAGGCTTTTGGGGTGTTTTTTTTTAAACTAATGACTAATTAGGCCATTTGTTTGCCAAATTTCTGAGTGAGAGGAGGTGGTATGCACTAAATGCAAAATAAGAGATTAGAGTATATATGAAAAGAATGTCCCAGTTTAGACAGACTGAAACTTTGTTTATCTCATTTATTCCAAGAAAATTTGAGAGAACATCAGAAACAGTGATGGATTAAGGCTTGTATTTTCCAGTGATGACTATGAAAATAAGCCAAGCACATTCAACAAGATCAATGGCTATGAGTATAACCTATGCTGTGTCAACATTTTTACAAGATGTATGTGTTGCAGCATGGTGGAAGAAACCAATTGCCTTCATTAAACATTTTAAATTCAATATGTATAAATCAGAACATGCTGCATTTGGCAGAGCAGTGCTTCAAGCAGTGGTTTCAGGAGTTTAGAATGTAGTCGTCTTGAAATCCTACTCAGTTTCTGCCCTTGAATAAAGCCCAATTATCATGAATTGCTCCTTTGTGCCAACCTGAGAATTAGAGGTTAGAGGTTAGAGGCCTCTTCTACAGAGCTGTATTAAATCCAAGTTATCTACCTTGAATGGGATTATCTGGCAGTGAAGACTCAGATAATCCAGTTCAAAGATTATGTGGATTATCTGCTTTGATATTTTGGATTATATGGCAGTGTAGAAGGGCTCATACTTATCATAAGTACTCATTCTGTGATGACAGAAGGAGCAATTCACACCCATACAACAATGACTACTAATGCAGCAGCAGCAACAATAACAACAACAATAATCTGATGAGGCTGAAACAAAATTTTCAGAAGTTAGTTGCACATAGAAATAGTTAGGTCAGGGCTAGATAATAAAACTGACTGATAAGGGAAGGTGTATTAACGGATCCGACAAATGTATCTAGTTGTGTTAGCACATGGAGATAAAACTGATAGTGGTGGATTGCTTCTTTTGCCATCACAGAATGAATATTTGTGGTAAGTAGAACCACTCTACCTTCGTTTGTCTTGTTCACCAAGCTTGATAAAGTAACCTTCTTAAAATACTGAGAAGAAAGATAGCCGTTCTTTAAGGCAGAACTGATGGTGTCCGTCTTCTTGGACATTCTGTTGCTGTTGCTGTTCTGTATTGTGTTTTTTTCCCATTCTTCCATTGCCACCTGGAGAGGGCGATAGAATGCTAGACTTTCAGTGCTTGTATATTCTTCCTCTTGTTTAATTTATTATTATCAATAATTTACTATTTTTTCCACTTCCAGGATATTATACCACAGCCTTTATTGGACCAATACTTATCTATGACAGATCCTGCTCGTGCACAGACTGTTGATACAGAAATCGCAAAGCACTGTGCATACAGTCTTCCTGGAGTAGCCTTAACATTGGGCCGGCAGAATTGGCACTGTTTGAAAGACACATACGAAACATTGGCATCTGATGTACAGGTAAAGTACAAAGGAGTCAAGGGTTGGTTCACACCAGGCCCGTAGCCAGGATTTCGTTTGGGGGGGGGGCTGAATTTTTTTCAGGGGGGGTTTCGGGGGGGGGGCCTGATTTTGGGGGGGGGCTGAGTCTGAGTGAAAGAGGGTCTACCCTAGCAAACCTTTTGTATCATTACCCCAATATCCCCATGCATATGGGATATATTGAGTATGGTGATCAGATCATGATATGAATAAACATAACAGTTTAAGTAATGCACCAGTAAGGCCTTTTCGCGAACCACCATGAGAATTTGGGGGGGGGGGCCTGAAGCCCCCCGAGGCCCCCCCCCCCCGGCTACATGCCTGGTTCACACCAAATGTTATTCAGGTGTACATATCGTGTGATGAGTATGTGCTTTTTAGAACAATCCCATTTCCACAACAAATTAACAAAGCCTTTTAAATGTTTGTTTTAAAATCCACAGTGTTATAAAATATTTGTATAAATATTTTTGGATTTGCTTTTGTAATGTTTACCCCAAAGCATTAATTTGTTTTATATTAACTATTTACAGTGGAAGGTGCGTCGGACCCTTGCTTTCTCCATTCATGAGCTAGCTGTCATCTTGGGAGATCAGCTAACAGCAGCAGATCTGGTGCCTATTTTTAATGGCTTCTTAAAAGATCTGGATGAAGTGCGCATTGGAATCCTTAAACATCTTTATGACTTCCTTAAGGTAACAGTTGTTCATATTTCTTCTTTGCTTGCGAATATTTCTTTAAAGGTAAAGGCTAGGTGAACCACCTGGTCTTCAAGAGGGTCCAGGCCGAAGTCCCACCGGCCATGTCACTTCCTTTCCTGCCATATCTACTGGGAGTTATCCAGGCATCCTGGATGATCCCATCCTCCATACCTCCAATTTTGAACCGATGACGAAGATCAGTTTGCTAGCTCACCACTCCGACCTGAACTCTGTAGTAGTCAAGGCCTCCTAGTCTTCAGGCAAGCAAAACTCGATCCTGGCAGACATGGAAGGAAAGAGGTTTGAATTTGTTGGGCGGAAACTCTACTCAGGAGCTTTCCTACTGACAAGAATCTCCAGTTATGGTGCCTGTATGGGCGCATATCAGCAGTTACTTTGGGAAAAGGCACAGCCTTTCCACGCTCTCGGAAGAGGGCCGAGCAATGCTTTCTATGCTGCAACAAGAAGCTACTTCCTTGGCCCACCACCAGATACAGAACGCAAAACACACAGCAGACCCAGTGGGGAAGGTGATCACTTATTATATTATATTAGTTACCACTTCAACCCTCTCCTACTTCACAACATCTGGTTCATCACCATGCTGAGACCAGTACTGTGAATGCTGGACTGTTGGACCTGATTCAATAATCCACAACCAGTGGACACCATCACAACAGACTCCTTTACCTATGGATAGGGAGCTCACTACAAAGACGTAACGGTCAAAGGCCTCTTCTCCACAGAAGAAAAGAATCACCATATCAATTATCTTGAACTACTAGTGATCTTGAAAGCCCTCCATGCTTTCTCTCAACTGATCCTGCACAAGCCAGTTCAGATACTGACAGACAACACCACCTTGATGTGTTACATCAACAAACAGGCACGTGACACAGGAAGCTACTCGCTTTCACTCGTTGCATCTGGAACTGATGCATCAAGCACGGCATCTTTCTGATGGCTCTACACCTGCTCGGGATCTAGAATGCCCTCCCTGCCAAACTCAGCAGGTCTTTGAAGACCTCCCATGAGTGGAGGCTCAACCTGGACCAGTTGCACCGCCTTCTTTGATGAATGGGGATGGCCGCAGATAGACCTCTTTGCCTCCAAGGCGAATGCTCATCTCCCACAGTACGGTGTGAGATCAGCACCATTCGAGACACTCAAATGCCTTGGAGATGTCTTTTTCCTGGAATGGATGGGAACATTCTTTTACATCTTCCCTCCAATCCCTCTCATCCTGAAGGTACTCGAGCGCATCATGATGTTTCACACAAACTGCATTGTAATAGCACCAGCCTGGCTGAGACAAGTCTGGTATCCAACCCTCCTACGTTTCTCCAATGGTCGCTATCATCAGTTCCCGGCACTTCTGCATCTCCTCTCAATGAAAGACGGGCAGATTGTTCATCCAGACAAGCGGGGCTCCGTATTTCATCATCGAGGCTTATCTCTGCCATTGAACTTTGTTATCAACTGGCCCATCCTCCTCCTCCATCCACTGTTTGGCCTCACTCAATGAGAGGCATGGTAGCGTTTTTCTGTGGCATCACTCTGGACTCCATCTGCAGGGTGGCAATTTGGGCCAACCCTCTGACTTTTGTGCCCCATTACAGATTGGACTTGAGATCACACACAGACACTGTCTTTGACAGATCGGTCTTTGCCTCCAGCCTTGCCTTGCCACCATATCTGCCCAGGCCCTCCCCAAGGGTTAGGACCTCTTCCAGATTGTACCATTTATTTATTTATTTATTTATTTATTTATTTATTTGGAGCATTTATTAACCGCCATTCTCAGCCCACTCGGGCGACTCACGGCGGTGTACAGTACAAAAGGCAATTCACACAAAGACAAGTACAACAGCATATTAACCATACAACAATACAACAGTTAAAATTACACTAACTAATCCGCTTCGTCTCGTAATAGAATCGTGACCAATCTCGTATTCCTTGTACCATTCCAGTCGTCTTTACCACATTACTATAGCACTTAATTAAATGCCCTCTCGAACAGCCACGTCTTGAGGCTTTTTCGGAAGGACAAAAGAGAGGCAATGACAGATAGGAAGTTTTCTCTGTATGTTTGACAGATCCTTGTTTGTTTAAACATTCCTTTAATTATAACAGACTGGGATTGTAAAATGCACACCTCTTACTTTTCTTTTGTAGCTCCTTCATGCTGACAAAAGACGGGAATATCTTTACCAGCTTCAGGAATTCGTGGTTACAGATAACAGTAGAAATTGGCGGTTTCGTTATGAACTTGCAGAGTAAGTAAAACTGAACTATAACTAGCACAACTTATTATTTTGAAGTCGTCTATATAGCATTGTCTGTCAGCCATAGCTTAGGGGCATTGGGGCTGAACAGAAGACCTCCTATACCAGTGGTTCCCAACCTTTAAGAGATTATGGGCCACTGAGTATTTGGATAGATCATAAACCATAGAGATCAGTCACCCCTTTTCTCCACCACCTGCACATAAAGGGCGCTCTCTCCCTTTGGCCCAGTCCATGGGCTTCCCTTCCCTTCTCTTCCCACCCCATCCCACCCCACCAGGAGCTAGTGATGCAGCTTTGCTCAGCCCCCATCTTCACTTTGCTATCTCCTCCTCCTTGCAATCTATCCTGTGAATGGGGCTTCCTTCCTTGCCTCAAAAGCAGTTAAGGAATAAAGGATCCAACAGCACTAATTCTGCTCCCTCCCTTTATTCAGCATTGGACCCTTCCTTCCTCATCTGCTCTTGAGGAGACTGCTGCCAGAGACCTGTTTGCAATCTCCTTCTTGCAACCCGGCTCCTGCCTGGGCCTGAAAATGGGTCTCTGGTAGTAGCAGCTGCTTCAAGCCCAGGCAAGGAAGGAAGGATCCAACACTGCCATTCTTGCTCCCTCCCTTTGCCTGATGTTGGATTCTTCCTTGTAGGTCCAGATGGCAGGCGGCTGGGTTGCAAAGAGGAGACTGCAAATGGGGCTCTGGCAGCAGACCACTGGTTGGGAACTACTGTCCTATACTATGCTCTGAATGGTTTTATAGATAGGAGTGGAATTACCGCAGTACAGTCTCTCTTACTCTCATCCCACAGAGTTTATCCAGTAGGATACTCTGACTAGTGATGCCAACTCTACTAGCAGATCTAAGAGGATCATCTTCTCTCTGGAGTAGACTGTCTGTCAGAACAATTGAGCATATCTCTTTGGACTGCAAATGACTGAAATGAGGGCAGATAATTTGTTTTCTCCTGCTTGGGCACCTTGCTTCCAAAGGGAATCTTAGTAATACCATCATCCTTATGTACCTCTGCACCCAGAGTGGTCCTTATACAAGCTACAAATATCAGATTTACAAACAACTTATAGTTAAGAATGGGGGTGAGACAACAGGCAGAAATAAAATTTGAAGAAAACGGCACTCTCTTTGTTTCCACACCAAGACAATTCTTTCAAAATCCAATTATTACAGGGACAGAAAGTGAGGTGAAATCTTCCAAAGAGGGACACAGACAGCAAAACAAACACAATGGGGGTGTTAACCCTTCCCTATGCTATCCAAAGCGTTTAGATTGATAACATTGATAGATAGACATGTAAAAAATGTTCCTGTTCTGACTTGCATACAAATTCAACTTAAGAACAAACCTACAAAACCTATCGTGTCTGTAACTAGGGGACTGCCTGTATTTGGTTCTAACCAGTATTCTGATATAAAAATGTTCTACTGTAAGAACATATTATCTCTAGGCTTTGGGTGTAATAATTCTGACATCTAGTGGGAGTACCATGAAATTGCAATGCATTTTCTCTTCCATGACTGTTAATGACATTTGCTGCCACATGCACAATGGAGGACCTTCATATAACAAGACAAAAGGCACTCCAATTGACCAAGTACTGGCCAAAGGACATTTATTTATTTATTTATGATTCAAACTTATATGCCACCACTCCCCTAGGACTCGGAGTGGCTTACAAGAACAGACTAAAATCTAAAACAATTAAAAAAAAACAGCAATATCAAAGATCAAAAGCCTGTCGAAACAAATATGTCTTACATGCCCTGTGGAACGCTGATAAGTCTCGCAAGGCACAGACTTCAGGTGGCAGAGTGTTCCAGAGTGATGGTGCCACTGCTGTAAAGGCTCTGCATCTGGTTGCTATTAGATGCAAGTTCTTAAAACTGGGAACTTCCAATAAATCTTGGTCCTCAGAACGAAAGGACCTCTGGGGTTGGTAGGGGGTGAGGCGGTCCCAGTTTTTTTTTACTTTGTGTTTTTAAATGCATTGCAATTGTACCTTCAGTTGGCTTCTGACACAATAAATAAATAATGACATTTGCTGACGTCTTATAACTGTAACACCTTCAGTAAGAGTCCCTAAGTAAAGGTTCATTGAAGTTTTATTGATGTCATTTTGTAAACGCGCTGCTTTTTAAAAAAACAAGTTGACTACCTTGCAATCCAAAACTAGGAGAAAGGTGGGATAAAAATGAAATAAATAAATTCAGATAAATTCAATGTATTATGCAAATGTTCTTACTCTTAGTCATATTCATTTCTGTGCTGAAAAGCCACTGGATAAAATTGGGAGAATAATACAGCATAAGTTCGAAATGACTTGAAGCCAGGCAACAAATAGTAGTAGTAGTAGTAGTAGTAGTAGTAGTAATAATAATAATAATAATAATAATAATAATAATAATCTATTTTAATCGAATATTTATGCGAATACAAAAGAGAGAGAAAGAAAGAGAAATTATATTAATGATGAGCACATAATTAGCAAGAGTATATGCTAATGCGGGAAGCCCCCAGCGGCACAGCAGCTGCTGAACTTGCTGACCGAAAGGTTGATGGTTCAAATCCAGGGAGTGAGGTGAGTTCCCACTATTAGTCTCAGCTTTTGCCAACCTGGCAGTTTGAAAACATGCAAATGTGAGTATATCAATAGGTACTGCTCCGCCGGGAAGGTAACGATGCTCCATGCAGTCATGCTGGCCACCTGACCTTGGAGGTGTCTACAGACAACGCCAGCTCTTTGGCTTAGAAATGGAGATGAGCACCACCCACCAGAGACAGACACGGTTAGACTTAATGTCAAGGGGAAATCTGTACCTTTGGGTCAGGATTATAATCTTTGGGGGGGGGGGCATTTAAAGGTGTATGCCTTCTAGTGTGGCAAGTTCACTTTTACGGTTCCAGAATTTTAATTTTTTTCTTACCTCTGTTTTTGTTGTTTTCACTGGAAACAGCTGCCAACACTGATGAGGTACCAGAAGCAACGTCCATAGCATTCATAACAATAATATTCAGGTTTTACTCATTGGACTAAAGTACATTTTGAAAACAAAGTAGTGCAAGCAACCTTAAAGCAATGTTATCAATGTTTATTTCTCTTTTACTTTAGGCAACTCATTTTGATACTTGAGCTCTACAATCCCAATGATGTATATGACTATTTAAGGCATATTGCACTCACTCTCTGCTCAGATAAAGTCTCTGAAGTCAGGTGGATCTCCTTCAGGCTGGTAGGTCCTTTTGTTTTAACATTTATTATACATGGTGTCTGGTTTAACACGTCTCTTGAAGTAAATGTCATTATCTCTTTGATTCTTCCTTCTGATATTTTTTACAGGTTGTAGCAATACTACAAAAATTTTATGTGAACAATGCAAACTCTTTGGGATTAAATTTCATTAATGAGCTGATTGTAAGGTTTCGCCATTGTTCTAAATGGGTTGGAAGACAAGCATTTGCTTTCATCTGCCAAGTAAGTCCCTCCCTCCCTCCCTCCCTCCCTCCCTTGTATGATAGTTATATCAATAGAGAACATTATGGCTCTGTTGCTAAAACTAAAGATGGGCATATAGTGTCAGAATGGGAGATTAACTGGGAACATTATGGATTATGAGAACGGATCTGATTTCATTGAGGCGCTATGTTTTGATTTGTTAATTGTTGTTGATTTTGTTGTTGTATATGATGCGTTTTAATTGCACTGACATTGTTGTGATAACCTGTACCATGTAAACCGCATTGAGTCGCCTGGTTGGGCTGAAAAATGCGGTATAGAAATAAAGCAAATAAATAAATAAATAAATAAATAAACATAATAATGCTAAAAATTAGTAAAACTTTATTTGTATTCCTTCACCATTTCCCCGAAGGGACTTAGGGTGGCTCACAAAGCACTCAATAGTGTGATAACACACAGAAACAGAAAACAATATTTATTTATTTATTTATTTATTTATTTATTTATTTATTTATTTACCATATTTATATACCGCCCCTCTCAGCCCAGAGGCAACTCGGAGCGGCATATGAAGTATAAAAAACCCCATCAAAACCACTCTGGATTGTGTTGTAAAAGAACAAGACTATAAATTTCTGATATGAGCATTTTAGGTAGGAATATTAATAATATTGAAAACTTCAGCCAGGCTTTGAAGCTGCAAGGCCATGCTAATCAAGGTGAGCAATTGCAACATTCACACTTGCCTCATGCAGTCAAGAGTTCTTTCTCTCACCTTGGACATTTCACAGATATATAAACCCCTTGCCTAGTTTCCAACAGACCTCACAACCACTGAGGATGCTTGCCATAGATGTGGGTGAAATGTCAGGAGAGAATGCTTCTGGAACATGGCCACATAGCCTGGAAAACTCACAGCAACCCTGTGATTCTGGCTATGAAAGCCTTTGAAAACACAATCTTGAAAACTGTTTTATCTTCTAGATCTATGCTTATTTATGAAAATCTTAAAATGTCGTTCATTTCTTGTACTGATATACATATTCAATCTTAATGTCTCTTTCCCAGAGCACAGAATCATACTTAAAGGGGCATGACATTCTTGGCTAAAAAATAAAAGAAAGACATGGTTATAACTAGTGAAAGATTTGTCATGTTCACGTACTGTAAGTGCGTCCCTGTCCCTGTCTACTCAGCCTCCCTTTTAATAAATAATTCACTTAGCTTCTCTGATCTCAAAGAATGCTTGCATAAATGCTTCAAAGTTTACTCTTAAAAGAACCTGATGAGAACATTCCATAAATCAACATCTTCTACTATGAGCGTAACTTCTTTCTCTGGATGCTACAGAGGAACAACCCACAAGTTTTCTAAGTGCTTCACATCCATTATATTTTTATTTATTTATTTATTTATTTATTTTTATTTATTAGGAGCATTTCTATCCTGTCCTTCTCACCTCCGAAGAGGGACTCAGGACGGCTACCAACGGTGCCGAACAATAAATAACAAAGAATAAAATACACTCAGCATACAGTAAAAACAATTATAAATATACATAAAAACAGTTCGCCATTTCAAGTTGTCTTCCAACTGTACAAAATAGGCTACGATTTTAACCTCCATATTGCAGGTGGGAACAGACAGGGTATGGTTAGTCTCAGACCACTTAATGAGTTTATAGTTGATGTGAAATTTGAACCAGAGGCTCCTTATTTAAGAGTTCAGTCTTGTATCCATTGTATTACACCAAGGAGGCAGATTTAATGCTTGTACGGCCTTTCTTTCTCTTTACTTTGAACACCAAGTTTCTCCAGTGGGAAGTCAGGCTCAAAATAATGTATTGATGATTTTCTTAAATATAATAATATTTGTATCCTTACCTATAGCAAATGATCTTTAGGCAGTGTATGATAAAATACATGTAAAGTGTTTAAAACAGTAAGGATAATTTAAACAGACTAAAGAAGTATTAAACAATTAAACAAAGTAAAACAAGATAATTTAAGACAAATTAAAACAGTCGAAGGCAGTTTAAAACCAGGCTCTTGTGTGGATTTGGATGAAATCATTTAGACATCATGGACTTCAGTAAAAAAAAACATATTTATGTGATGCCAGTTGGGTATTAAGGGGAAGATATTCTATCCCGTGGCACCGTAGTGCAAAAGGCCATATCCTTCTGCTGTGTATGGCCCCTGTTGGAAGATTATTTACATCCCATCTTCCATCCATTTGGGAATACGAAATGGCTTACAACAGAGATTAAAACAAAATACAGCTAACCACTTGATCATTTTAAAGAATGTGAAAATTGATGGGTGGAACACGGTCTTCGAATGTAGCTTTTTCCCACTATAACTAAGATCACAGTAATAGACAAATCAAATTTCACTCCCAAGTTTTCTTCCACCCTAGGAAGCAGGGAAAGGTCTCTTCTGTTGTTGCTCATATTCAGCAGTTCAGATCACTCAGATTTACCGGTATTTCCAGCTGTCCTGTCTGCTCATCTCTGTGTTATAGTAGCTCTCTATACCATAATTATACCGTACTTACAGAAAAGGCCCCATCTGAATACTTTCAGATTTTTTCCTACCCTAAAGAAAATGCCCCAAGTTGTCATGTATTTCTAACATTTCCAGTTCAAGAATCTGCATCTTGCTGTTTCTGATTTCCTTGGAACAAAATGTGGTAATAGAACAGGAGACTGGTTGAATAGGCATCATTAATGAGCAGGAGAGCTCTCCATCTTCTTTCTGTTGAGTCATGCAGACTCTTTATCAGTGGTTCCCAACTTTTGGTCCTCCAGGTGTTTTGGACTTCAGCTCCCACAATTACTAACAGCTGGTAAAATGGCTGGGATTTCTGGGACTTGAAGTCCAAAACACCTGGAGAACCAAAGGTTGGGAACCATTGCTTTAAAAATCACTACAGATAGGAGGCAATATGAAAATAGATTGCAGCATCAAGTGTCATTAGCAGTAATAATCTTTGAATTTCTACTGAAATTGTTGCTGGATATTCCATTAGCAAGGAATTTGGTTTCTCGTTTTTGCCATTATAGGCAGTGGTGGAAGAAGAATGCATGCCTGTTGACCATTTTGTTGAACATCTGCTACCCAGCCTTCTCAGCTTGGCTTCTGATCCTGTGCCAAATGTAAGGGTTCTGCTTGCTAAAGCTCTGAGGCAAACACTCTTGGAAAAAGGTATGCTAATTCCTTCCACACATACACGGTTCTGTGACTTCTGTAGCTAATAATACTGTTCTGCATTGGTTGGTTCTAAATGAAAGAAGTTTTTTTTAATGTAAACCAGCATGAAACTGAATGTTCCTTTAGAACAGTGGTTCTCAGCCTGTGGGTCCCCAGATGTTTCGGCCTTCAACTCCCAGAAATCCTAACAGCTGGTAAACTGGCTGGGATTTCTGGGAGTTGTAGGTCAAAACATGTGGGGACCCACAGGTTGAGAACCACTGCTTTAGAATGCAATCTGTTGTAGAATTTGGTTCTAGCTGCAAACATGCCTGGTATTGCTGACCTGCATAATCCTTTTGGTAGCAGGTTTGGCATTTGAGTGAGGTATCTTGCTGTTTCTGATTTCTTGGAACAAAGCACAGTAATAGAACATGAGACTGGTTTGATCACACCAAAGGTCCATCTATTCCACCATATTTTTCCCAGAGGCTTTGGTGAAGTTCGTCAACCATGAAGATGGCTGCTTCAGTCTCTTCTTATTTGGCTAACTTTTTGATTTCATCCATTTTGAAATAATTCCAACAACAACAACAACAACAACTTTATTCTTGTATCCCACCATTATCTCCCTGAAGGGACTCGGGCTGGCTTACACACGGCACAAGGTGCCTAGAAACAGAAAATAAAATAAAGCACAGTATAAAATACAATTTAATAAAACATATAGGCATATAAACAACAACTTAAGACTAAATTAAACAGCACTCAACAACCAATGGCTGTAAGCTACTGTAAACTTGGCCAGGCTGTAAACAACAGGACAAGGGAATGGGATAAGTGCAGAGCGTTAATCATGGAACAAGGGCATGGGATGAAGTGCAAGGCTACATAACTATTGCGTAGAACAACTAGAGACTAGTCCTTCTCAAAATCTTGTTTGGACAGCCAGGTCTTCAGGTCCCTATGGAAGGAGAACAGTGTGAGAGCTTGCCTAATCTTCCTGGTGAGGGCATTCCAAAGCCGGGAGGCCATCACCGAGAAGTTACTCTCCTTCGTTCCTACCAACTGCGCTTGTGACGGTGGCGGGACTGAGAGGAGGGCCTCCCCAGCAGATCTTAGAGCCCGCACTGGTTCATAGGGAGGGATGCGATCACAAAGATAGGTAGGACCCAAACTGTTTTGGGCTTTACTAATAACCTATAAATCAGTGGTTCTCAACCTGTGGGTCCCCAGATGTATTGGCCTTCAACTTCGAGAAATCCTAACAGCTGGTAAACTGGCTGGGATTTCTGGGAGTTGTAGGCCAAAGCACCTGAGGACTCACAGATTGAGAACCACTGCTATAAATAGTTCACATCCCTTACACACTTTTCTCCTTGTTCATTCATTTGTATTTTAAAACATTTCTCAATCACCAATCTTTTAAGAATTTTTTTCTTAATAAGGAGTATTTGGTGACTCCTTGGCCTTATTGAAATATTGTACTGAATATCGGCAAAAGGTAAAAGGTAATATTTGCAAGGTTGCACCTGACAAATGTACATTTCTATCTTCCACTAGTAACAATATTTCTGAAACTATCTATAGAATTTTTCAGATACATAAAAACAAACTTGCCTACATACATTATTTTTCACAGCCCAGTATTTATTTATTTATCGTGTCATCAGCAACCATTGAATTACAATTCTAACAGAGCAAAACAAACACAGAGATTAAAAAGAAAAAGAAAAAAAAGAAAGAAAAAAAACCCACACAGATTTTGCAAATTTGGTATTTGGTTAAATGTCCTTTGACCACTATCTGGCCACTTGGAGTGCCTCTGGGGTTGCCGCAAGAAGGTCCTCCATCGTGCATGTGGCAGGGCTCAGGGTGCATTGCAGCAGGTGGTCAGTGGTTTGTTCTTCTCCGTACTCACATGCCGAGGATTCCACCCTGTAGCCCCATTTCTTAAGATTGGCTCTGCATCTCATGGTGCCAGAGCACAATCTGTTCAGCGCCTTCCAAGTCGCCCAGTCTTCTGAGTGCCCAGGGGGGAGTCTCTCATCTGGTATCACCCATGAATTGAGGTGCTGGGTTTGGGCCTGCCACTTTTGGACTCTCGCTTGCTGGGATGTTCCAGCGAGTGTCTCTGTAGATCTAAGAAAACTATGTCTTGATTTAAGTCGTTGACGTGCTGGCTGATACCCAAACAGGGGATGAGCTGGAGATGTCTCTGCCTTGGTCCTTTCACTATTGGCTGCTACTTCCCGGCGGATGTCAGGTGGTGCAATACCGGCTAAGCAGTGTAATTTCTCCAGTGGTGTGGGTCGCAGACACCCTGTGATAATGCGGCATGTCTCATTAAGAGCCACATCTACTGTTTTAGTGTGGTGAGATGTGTTCCACACTGGGCATGCATACTCAGCAGCAGAGTAGCATAGCGCAAGGGCAGATGTCTTCACTGTGTCTGGTTGTGATCCCCAGGTTGTGCCAGTCAGCTTTCGTATGATGTTGTTTCTAGCGCCCACGTTTTGTTTGATGTTCAGGCAGTGCTTCTTGTAGGTCAGAGCACGGTCCAAAGTGACTCCCAGGTATTTGGGTGCGCTGCAATGCTCCAGTGGGATTCCTTCCCAGGTAATCCTCAGAGCTCGGGATGCTTGTCTGTTCTTAAGGTGAAAGGCGCATGTCTGTGTTTTAGATGGATTAGGGAGCAGCTCAGTGTTCTCTTACTATCAAATGAGATGCAGAAAAGACTTTTTTGGTTGTGGGAAAACCCCTTCCCAGAAATTTTATACAGGTAGTCCCCGAGTTACAAACATCCAACTTACATTCGACTCCTAATTACAAACAGAGCTAAGACAACACGATGTGAAAGGAAATCTACCCATAGAAAGGGAAATTCTCTCCTGTAATCATGGGGAAAGGCCCCCTGATGGCATAGCAGGTTAAACTGCTGAGCTGCTGAACTTGGTGACCGAAAGGTTGGTGGTTAGAATCCAGGGAGCAGGGTGAGCTCCCGCTGTTAGGCCCAGCTTTTGCCAACCTAGCAATTTGAAAACATGCAAATATGAGTAGATCAATAGGTACCGCTTCTGTGGGAAGGTAACGGTGCTCCATATAGTCATGCTGGCCACATGACCTTGGAGGTGTCTTCAGCCTAGAAATGGAGATGAGCACCCCCCCCCCCCCAGAGTCGGAACAACTAGTCTTAATGTCAAGGGGAAAACTTTACCTTTACCCTAATCATGGGGAAAAGGTGGCTGCACTGAAGCTTTGTCGCTAGTCCTTGTTTTCATGACAGCCCAATATTTTCAAAACCCTGTTGTCACAGGGACAGAAAGTGAGGTCAAATCTTCCGAACAGGGGCACAGACAGCAAAACAAGTGTTACAGGGATGTTAGTCCTTTCCTATGCTGTCCAAAATTTTAAAAATGGCCGGAGTCACACTTAAAAAATGTAACTGTCTGGCTTACATACAAATTCAACTTAAGAACAAACCTACAGAAGCTATCTTATTTCTAACCTGGGGACTGCCTACATCTAGTTTTGTTTTTTAGTCCTGCTTTTGGTTGAATAAAAGAATTTTTTTTGCATTTCACATTTTATTGTTTGCTTTTTGTTGTTTTAGTCAATAATGGCCAAATTGTGGGTCTGGGTGGACATGAAGAAATGAAATCTATAACAATATTCTTGTGGTATTGAATGAAATGGCTCAAACTAAAATGTTCTCCTTTGCTTCCACATCCTAGCATATTTTAGAAGTGTGGGCAACCCCCATCTTGAAGCTGTGGAAGAGACTGTTCTAGTTCTACAGACAGACAGAGATCAAGATGTTTCCTTTTTTGCCACCATCAAGCCAAAATGCAATAACATACGGATTACTTCGCTTGAAAAACAAAATTAATTTTGTTTTCCTCTGGACCCCAACATGATTAACCAGCAAAGAGGTTCCTGCTTTGTCTACTAACCTGATGAAGACTGAATCAAGTAACCAATGCAATCTAAGCGAAAAGGGCTTCTTCTTAATTCACATTTAAATGAAGAATATGCTGACCTTTTATCTACCGACTGGTAATAGTGATGTAGAATATTCAACAATCATGCTGTCTTCATTTTTTCTTACACAAACATGAGTAATACTCATGTACAAAAAGTTCAGTATTGTATATGTGTGTGTATATATATATCTATGTATATGTTCATGTTCCCCTGGTGGCGCAGCAGGTTAAACCGCTGATCTGCTGAACTTGCCGACCGAAAGGTTGGTGGTTCTAATCTGGGGAGCGGGGTGAGCTCCCACTGTCAGCCCCAGCTTCTGCCAACCTAGCAGTTAGGGAAACCTTTACCTATATGTTCATGTGAGCTTACACAAATTCACAGCTTCAGAACAGGAGTATATACTTTTCTATATAAGAGAAGGAAAGTGGCTGCTTGGTTGGAGTCCAGAGTGACTCACAAAGCTTTAGCCAGTGAACAATTTAAAAAGTGAAGCTTTTCCCCATTGTATTATAAATTGTTCCATGGTTAGTGGCACCATGTTTTATTATATTAAGTCATTCAAAGTGATCATAATGTGCTCCTGAAAACTGGAAAGAACTCAGAAAACGTGACTCCATCTTTACAACACCCCCAAACAACACAATTGTCTTGTTAGAGAAATAGTATTTTGGCGGCTTTCCCCGCAAAGTAGATGGTTGTTTTTCCTTCAACAGAGGGTTTCGTATTACGAATGCATGATATGGCACAGGTTGGGTGTTTATGTTTCATTAATGAAACATCATAGTGGATTTTTTTTTAAAAAAATCGCCCGCTGTTAATTAATCGCCTTTTCCACTGAGGATGTGATGTCTAATCCTGTAAACACATTCTCAAGCTACTTACTTCAGAAATAGTACATACAGTGTATTGGGTCTACTCTATAATAATACGGTCTCCTAGTTTTCAGTACTGGATTGTTAGTGTTCAGTAATGCAGTATGACTGAGATTTGTTCTAAATTCTTGTTTCTATTTGGGAAATATAAATTGCAGTTGAGAATGTAAATTCCCCAAGAATACATCAAGTCTTTTTACTTAAATATGTGGAGCCCCTGATGGTGCAATACATTAAACCCTTGTGCCAGCAGGACTGCTGACCAACAGGTTGGCGGTTCGAATCCAGGGAGCGTGGGTTGGGCTCCCTCTGTCAGCTCCAGCTCCCCATGCAGAGACATGAGAGAAGCCTCCCACAGGATGGTAAAACATCAAACATCTGGGTGTCCCCTGGGCAGCGTCCTTGCAGATAGCCTATTCTCACACACCAGAAGCAACTTGCAGTTTCTCAAGTCACTCCTGACATGAAAAAAACAAAACCTTAAATATGTATGGAAGTTCAAAGTTATGAGAATTCTTTATTTTGAGTAATTAGTGTTTCTCTCTTTTGGAAGATTATTAGAAAGTTTTGTATAAAGTGTGGGATCCAGTCCTGATGGTGCACACCTGCTCCCCAAACCTCCATTTGATTGTGTTCCCAAATCATCCTCCAAAGCATAGTTCGTTGGGTGTGGGAGGCCACACACGGAAAAGAGAGTCAACAGCGTGCCATACAGCAGGGTTTACTTTCTTTTATGTATATACAGTAGAAATGTATTGCATATATTCACAGACTATTCTTGATCCCCGATGTTTGGATTTATTGCTGAAGGCTATGACGACAGTAACAAAAATCTGGGCTTCTTTTTTCTCTTGGATAGGATTTACAATACAAATATCGCAAATTTAAATAAGTGAAAATATAAGTGGGAAAATGGATGACCAATGTGATCTGAATATTATGCTGTTAAGTACTACGATGCACAAAAGGGTCTTAGGAAAAAATAGTGAAACTGAAGACTGATAAATCTATCTATGGTTATCCGTGAAAAGTTGGCATGTACAAGAGTGCAATTCATACAAGCACTGTAGGAACTTGAGATTATGTGTGGTGTCAAAGGCTTTCATGGCCGGACTTACTTGGTTGCTGTGAGTTTTCCAGGCTGTATGGCTATGTGCCAGAAGCATTCTCTCCTGATGTTTCACCCACATCCATGGCAGGCATCCTTAGAGGTTGTGAGGTCTGTTGGAAACTAGGCAAGTAGGGTTTATATATCTGTGAAATGTTCCGGGTGGGAGAGAGAACTCTGTTTAAAGCAAGTGTGAATAAACCCCACATGCCTAGTTTCCACAGATATATAAACCCCACTTGCCTAGTTTCCAACAAACTTCACAACCTCTGAGGATGTCTGCCATAGATGTGGGTGAAACATCAGGAGAGAATGCTTCTGGAACATGGCTATACAGCCCAGAAAACTCACAGCAACTCAGATTATGTGGCTTGCACATAAGAAAATGATGTAAATAATGTAAGTGTTCAGCATGAATAGTTCATGGGTGTGATCACTGCTGGAAGTAAATATTGTGAATCGAAGCATAAATATAACAGTTTTACAGAAGGGCCGTAACAGTTATGAAACAATTTTCTTTTCAGGTTTTTTTAAATCGAATAAGTAGCCATTAGAGATGGAAGTACAGAAAGTGTCAGAGGGAACATTGACTGTATTTGCTGGATATTTTTTAAAAACATGTAGCAAAAGAAGTCTCATTTAATAGCAAATTAAATTGTTCCATTCAGTATTTGTCTTTTAGCTAAATAGGCCACAATTGTGTTCTCTTCAGCATCTTTGGATCATTAAGTGGTTGCCTTGTCTGGATTCTCAGTCTACTTCCTGGTATGTTTCCTCACTTTTAAATAATGGTTTAATTTGCCACAATTGCCTACGAAACTCTGGACATAATCTCATGAAAGATTCTGTTCCAGACGACAGTACAGTGTTTAGCGTTCGTAAGGACATTATGTGCTTTGCAAGATCCTCAAATGGCTTTTAGAAACCATCTAGACATGTGTCGTCGCTACAACATTGTAACATGCCTAAACTCTGTGTTTCTGCAAGGTGGTTCTACATTTAAAGTGTTTAATAAGTTTAAAGCAAAATGCCTCTTCAATGCAAGTGATTTTTTACAACCGCAGTTTCTCAACAAAATGTCATTTTTTGTAGTTTTAATATCTTTTTCTAATGCTAACATTGTACAAGTATTTTTAAACAGTTCAGATTTTTCTAAAGTTGTTCTAATTCTCTCTGTTTTTTTTTGTTTATGTTGACCTTAATGGGTAGGTCATTAATTTTTTTCAGCACTGAACCATTTTTAAGTGTACATAGAAATGTTTGTGAAGAATTGTATATAGTTTGCTGTTTGGACATTAAAACAATCCAGTTTGGGCTACCATGTTAGTTTTAAATTGATAGGTACCCCATTGTTACACCTACTAGCCTACTAGATATTATGAACTCTCTTGTGTCCTTAGAAAGCTGGAGTAGTTTTCATGAAGTTATTGTTTGGTTACTATCACATATGCATAAGGAAATCAATTCTACCAAAATGGCAGATCAAAATTTTCATTAAAAATTTGCACCTTTTCCTATATCCAGAATTTACCCCCTTTATCTGGTGGCACAATAGGTTAAACCCTTGTGCTGGCAGGACTGAAGACTGACAGGTTGGGAGGCTCGAATCTGGGGAGAGTGCTGATGAGCTCCCTCTGTCAGCTCCAGCTCCCCATGCGGGGACATGAGAGAAGCCTCCCACAAGGATGGTAGAACATCAAAATATCTAGGTGTCCCCCGACAACGTCATTGCAGATGGCCAATTTTCTCACACCAGAAGCAACTTGCAGTTTCTCAAGTAGCTCCTGACATAAAACATTTTAAAAATGTGTTTTTTGTTAAAAGGTTTTTAAAATATGTTTATTATAGTTGCATGCACTAGTGGAGAAGATAATCCTGGGTAATTTGACTCAGTCTTTCTTCTTCTTCTTCCCTTGCTTTCCCCACCTTGCACTCCTTTCTCCTGTCTTTTTGTGTTTCCACATTCAAATTATATTTGCAATGGGTCTAAATAGCAAGAAAAGCACTGGCACAGAGACAATTCATTTCACAAAGGCTTGTCTATAGATTCTTCATAAATACCACTGAAATGATGGAAATGTATTCTGCAGCTACCTTATAACTCCTTCTCTAAAACAAAGAGACAAAATTAGGCAAAGGAGTCAAAATAAATATTTTTTTTAATCCTTTAAATTAAGGGAAAAGAAATGTAAAACATTTTGAGCAAAAGTTGGTATGCACTCTTCCCACAAATACACACACAGAGACACACACAGAAATGCAACAATTTCACTTTAAAATGTTTGGTTGAGACAAACATTAGTGCTGCAATACTGAAATAGTGGGCCTTAAATAGGTTAGTTGCTTTTGTGTAGAAATGCTCGTGTCTGATGCACATGATTATAAATTTGGCATCTCCTGGAATTTGTCCAAGTGGCAGTTGTATGCCTGTAAAGTAAGGTGTTTAGGGACACTCTGGAAGTGCTACTGATTTTGTCAGAAAAATAGTCTATGTAACTTTCTGTTCATATTTATCTCAATAAATCCCATGATTGTTTTATCAAATGTTGTTTTCTTTTGTTGACTGACTTTACACAAAACTTTTGAGCATAATGTTCATTCCAGTCATTAGCTGGCATGTAAACAGCACAGTGTCAACCAATGTTTCATGTATCCCAGCAACATATTGGACAAAGAAGAGGAGATCGGATAGAAAGGCTGTTCCTCCACTCAGGTGTCACACCCTCTTTCTCTGCTTATCAGAAATCTGTGTTAGTGGGCTTTCTTTGATGGATCCTGCAAGGAGTTGTGATCTCTCAACCAACATTTAGAAGCTTTGCAAAGTTGTGTCCTAGCTGTAATGCAATATGACATCACACTGGCTGTGTTCTGATGCTTCTGTTAGTCATGTATTGTTCCTGCGTCGTGACATCATTACTGTGATCTCTCTGATGGTAGCAGTCTGAGGAATGGTCTTGTTTAGAAGATGAAGCACAAGAAGAAGAAGAAGAAGGAGCAACTCAGTGAAGCTTCCCAATCCAGGGTAGGGTTAAGTTCCCGCCTTACTATCCTCTCTCGGCAATCAGGGGAGGCAACAACTCCACAGGCCCGTTTATTCAGCGTCAGGCTGTGTGTGTTGGAGGCTGAAGAGATCTTTACGGTGCCTGAATGTTACCGTGACTTAACCATAAAAAATCTGAAGAGCCGACTAGAGCTCTTGGTTGGGATCCCAGTGAATTTTATGCGACTCCACTATCTGGATGAAGGTGAGATCCTTTTGAAATAAGGCAAAGTGAAAAAATATCACGTAATACCAGGTGATTCTGAAAAGGATCAGTTTGAAAAAAAGGCGACCCTTCATTGGATGATAGCTGTTAATGGTCAACTTCAGCACTTTATTTTTCTGAATTTATTAATTGTCTTTCTTCTATACAATAGTCACAGCTTATTGACAGCTTATTGTGCCAGCTTCGAGACAAGTTCCAATTAGATGCAATACAGAAGCACAGTATATTAATGCTGCAAAAAAATTGCTCTCTTATATTTATCTGGGGATGACAGGGCCTAAACACCTAAAGGCACCAGATCTTGGAAAGTAACAGTTGGATGGGAGACTGCTTAAAAATACCAGGTGCTGTAGGCTGTTTCTCAGAGGAAGGAACTCATAAAACCACATCTTAAGTATTCCTTGCCTTGGGGTTGCCAAAATCAATAAATGATTTGAAGGCATAGACACAAAGAATATGTGAATCCTAAGTTGGTTTTTGAAGTTACTTTAAAATCTTCACATCATACTGAGATTCCTTCAAAGTTCTGGTTATGACCTTTAAAGCCCTAGATTATTCGGGTACAGGCTATTTGGCCGACCGTATCCCCTTGTGCGAACCTGCTCAGGCCCTGAGACCTTCAAGAGAGGCCCTTATCTTGGTCCCACTTCCATCTCAAGTTTGGTTGGTGGGAACGAGAGAGTGGGCCTTCTTGGTGGCTGCCCCTCGACTCAAACTCCCTGCCCAGGGAAGCCAGGATGGCCCCTCCCTGCTGTCCTGGCAGCAGGCTAAAACCTTTTTATTCAGGCAGGCTTTTAAAGATGAAGGTTCTTAAGATCCAATTGGGAGTGTTGTGGTTTTAACTTTGAATATGTTCTAATGGATATTAACTGTGGGTTTTTAGTACTGTTTATATTTAATTCTGTTTTTAATATTCAGATATTTGTATATTTGTAAATTGTTATGCTGATGCTTTTATGTTAAACCTCTTTGAGTTCCTTTCGGGGGAGATAAAGTGGGGTAATAATAATAATAATAATAATAATAATATGATGGACGGACTACAAACAGAAGCACAACTCTGTGGCCAAAATGACTCATTGGAACTTATGTCACAAGTACCACATGCCAATAGTAAACTGGTGGGATCATAAACCTGCAAAGGTAGTGGAAAATGAACATGCAAAAATAATATGGAAATTTAAAATCCAATTGACAAAAAACAACAGGAAAAACTCAGCTGTTATCAAGACCTCAAAATTGAACTGCAAAGGCTCTGGCATAAACCATTACAGGTGGTCCCGGTGGTCATTGACAGACTGGGTGCCGTGCCAAAAGATCTCTGCTGGCATTTGGAAATGATGAACATTGACAAAATCACAACCTGTCAACTGCAAAAGGCCATCTTACTTGGATCTGCGCACATCATTCAAAAACACTTCACCCAGTCCTAGATGCTTGGGAAGTGTTCGACTTGTGATTCTGCGATACAAAATCCAGTATCTGTGTGTGTGTATATATATATATATATCTTGTTTGCTGTGACATACTGTGTTTTTGTGTCAGAATAATGATGATGATGATGATTATGATGTCTGATTTTAGAGTAAAAATCTTGGAATCTGCCACCCAATTGTATTTCTTTTCCTTAATACACCTGTATTTTGTTTGCTACTATAGTTGATCTTAATGAAGACTCTACATTTAGGAGCAACGATATTATCCCTGGAGGAACTCTGATTTTGCGAATCTGGTCAGAAGATGCTTGGGGGCATTTGGTGTCTGCAGCTGCAATGGGAATGAAAGAAATGGTTGGCCTGATTGCTCTTGTAAACTGTATGGCAAATGTACAGAATATTTTCTTGGCATGTGGGGCTGTGTTTTGTTCTGAACGAACTAACATCTAAGTAAAGGGAGAGAGCAGGGAAATATCTTCTTTCATTCATTTCCAATAATTCCCATTCTTGAGGCAAAGCAACAAATTGTGGCCCTAATGTACCCAATTCAAAATACACCATATCTAAAGTTGTGAGAGGCAACATTGGAAGTTACCTATTTTTTAGCCCCAGGAATAACCCTTGCTTCCAAAATAGCAAATTGCATTCTTGAAACCTGTAGGAAACATTCACATTTTAAACAAGATATGTATTCCATGCATACCTCATTTTAATGAAACAAATATGGTCTGGTGGATTTTCTGAAGCTGGAAATGATTCAGTCACTTCTAGCTCTGATGAGAGAGGGGTATAGAATCATAAAGTTGGAGGAAACCACATGGGCCATCAATCCAACTTCTGGCCATGCAGAAATACCCAATCTCGATTGCTCAAGGGTGGCAAATTTCCCTCAAACCTGTTGAATTTTTCTGCCCCAATCTACACAGAGTAGAACATTTGTTTTCATTTATACATGTTCCCCTTTGAACTTTGCTGAAGACTGAGTTGACTATAGAAGTTATACCAGAAAATATATACATGCTAATCAGTATCTTTCTGAAAGTATCCACCAACCCTGAACCTGGCTATAGTTCACCAGTATGCATGTTGGAAGGAACATTTGATATTTAAATTAAATCTGCTTGATTTTTTGTATCGCCTTTTCAAAAAAAAACATATATGGCATAATTAAGTGGGGAAAAAAAGCCAAGAGGCGACTAGAAGATACTGTATTTCACCATGTAATAGTCGCCACCATGTAATAGTTGCACCAGACTTTTTGGGCCCCCCAAAATGCTTTGCTCGTCCATGCACCCGCCTCTTTCCAGGTATGGGATTCACTTGGCTGATGAGCAAGTGAACCCCAAAGCTGGAATTTTTAATAGTTGCACCCTTCTGTTTTTTTGCAAAAAAGGGGATGAAAAGTGTGACTATTATGTGGTGAAATGCTTTTGCTTTATTATCCTGTTGTTTTATCGAGATCTCCAAAACTCATTGGATTTCCTTGGAGTCTTATTTAAGGCTGAGCTGGAATAGATTGTCTATTTCTACTTCCATTTCTTTAGGCTGGGCAGGGTTTGGGGGCCCTCTTTCCTTTTCTGACATACAGCTTAGAACATCCCACTTTAAATAATAAGTTAACTCATACAATATTTGTTTTTTTTCCCCATTGCCAGCTTGCAGGTGTAGGGGGTATAAGCACTTCTGAATTTACCACAGCCAATGCAAGGCTGATGGGACCAGAAAAGAGGGCTGAGTGGTTAGCCTACCGAACATTTGTGGCCTTGTTCATCACCGTGCGTAGGGGCCACATGGAAGCTGTGGAATTCCTGCTTGAGCATGGTAATATTCTGACGTTGGGAGGGGCACTCAATAACTTCAGGTGTCTATCATGATGGTGCTCTCTTTTCTGTGGATCTTTGCCTTTAATTGTTCAGAAATGTGAAGTAGATTATAAGGTATGAAGTATAGGCAGGCTACTCACACCTATGAAACCCATTGAAATACACAAACACACAGGAACCAAGATAGATAGCTGGTGGGGACTGATAGTATTAGGCGTGTGTATGTCTGGTTCACATTACTTGTGCTCTTTCCAACAAAAAAATGAAACAAGAAGAGAGTACCCTATTCATTACGGGCTTTGGACTCCTTTCCTTCCCAAAGCACATTCTTCTCTTCCAACTTTGCATTGCAACCCATCTTGATGGCTGAGGCTATATTGAAGTTCAAAAGCTATTTCCCACAAAATATATGCATGCAATAGAAGGAAGTGGTTAAGACTGAGAAAGGGCAACGTGGAAAGCTAAACCTCTTCTGCAGGTGGGTAATGAGACCATCTTTCAGCCCTTGCAGTGCAGGTTTTCTACCTTTGGGGGATGTTTTTTCATAGTTAAAGGTTTCCCCTTGACATTAAGTCTAGTTGAGTCCAACCCTGAGGGGTGGTGCTCATCTCCATTTCTAAGCTGAAGAGCTCGCATTCTCCATTGATTCCTCCAAGATCATGTGGTCCACATGACTGCATGGAGTGCCGCTACCTTCCCGCAGAAGCGGTACCTATTGATCTATTCAGATTTGCATGATTTTGAACTGCTAGGTTGGCTGGGGCTAACAGTGGGAGCTTACCCCACCCCCCAGATTCAAACCACTGACCTTTCAGTCAGCAAGTTCAGCGGCTCAGCAGTTTAACCCACTGTGCCACCAGGGACTCCCATGGTATTATTTCTCCTAGTCATTACTCCAATTCTCTGAAATAAAGTATGGAAAAGCTATGTTTTGGGATGACAATCACCCAAATCTCTCAGCTAGGCTAATCAAACCCCACCAACACACAATTCTGTGGCTTATCAGGATAAAAACTGGGAATTTAAATTGTACACTTTGGGCAATCTCATTTTAGAATGGAAGGGATGAGTATATTCCAGCCTTTCCTCAATGGAAGTATGAGAGACTCCGGAAGTCATAATTCAAAGAAAGAAGATTTTCACGCTCAGGTCTGAAAGACTATTTGTCAGTGGAGAACTGTGTATTTTCCTTTTCCTGCTTATCCTACTAAATAGAGACATTTGCCAAATCACAAGTGCATAGTTATCTCTAGATTTCCAGAGGGTGAGTCATATTAGTTTGTTGTGGGCGTCAAAAGATTCTTTGTGGTTTAACCTGTAGCTATAGCTTGGTTTAAAACAGTGGTTCCCAACCTTTTTTTGACCAGGGACCACTCTCCAACATTAGAACTTCCTGACTGTGAGAGCCGTTCAGCAATGGAACTCTCTGCCTCGGAGTGTGGTGGAGGCTCCTTCTTCAGAAGCTTTTAAACAGAGGCTGGATGGCCATCTGTCAGGGGTGATCTGAATGCAATATTCCTGCTTCTTGGCAGGGGGTTGGACTGGATGGCCCATGAGGTCTCTTCCAACTCTTTGATTCTATGATTCTATGATTAGTACCAAAAGGGTTTTTGGTCAACTTTAGATTTAGTTTGGTTATTTGGGGTGCTGATTCAGAAAATTGCATTGGATAGACCACATCAGCTCTAGTTTCTGATGCAGAACATATGCCATCCAATAGTCACCACCTGCTCCCTCACAGAAAACCATATTTAATCATCTAGAGCTGCAGACCTTATTTTAGATCTCGCGACCCACAGGTTGGGAACCACTGGTTTAAAAGGATGGCTATAGATGTTGAGCATTTTGAAAATAATGAATAGCTAAACTCAGGATGCTGAAATTCCAAAACTGCCTTGTTTTCTCTTTAGGTGTTGATCTGACACTTAAAACACCGCTGGGGAGAACAGTCCTCCATGTTGCTGTCACCTCCGGCAACATTGCTTGTATAGACCTTCTCATTATCTATGGGGCCAAGGTCACTGAGGAAGACCATGAAGGTTGTACCCCTTTGGACTTAGCTCGCCTGTGGGGTCAGAAGGAATGTGAGCGGAGGCTCTTCCAGCACCAGTGGAAGTCGCGAACTGTGAGAACTCTCAAGCCAAAACTGGACTAGAGTGTGGGGTCATTATTCCATGACTAGGATGCAAAGCCACGACTCCACTGAATGTTGTTCTCAGAAACATGGACTCTTTGGTGGATTGGCTACAAGATTTTACTTTATTCTTGAAAGGAAAAAAACAAAACAGTCACTTAAGGGATGGCTGTATGAATGAGCTGCCATCATCTTTCTCAAGCATAAGGAAATTGCATGAGTCACAATATGTCTACAAGGCAATCTGTGGAAAAAGATAGAAGGTACATCTACACTGCAGAATTAAGGATGTTTGACACACATTAACTGCCATAGTTCAATGCTATGGAATCCTCAGATTTGTAGTTTGATGAAGGAAAGAAGGATAAATATCTTGCAAAACTAAATATCCCATAGCATCGAGCCATGGCAGTTGATGTGCTGGTAAACTGCTTTAATTCTGCAGTGTAGATGCACTCTTAAGTCTGGGAAAGCTTATGCTACAATTTCCTTCCGTTTGTCTCAAAGGTGCCTGAAGATCCCTTTGCATACTGATATTACAGATTGACATAGCTTTACATTTAAGTTCTATCACAATGATATATTCTCCTAGTTGTTAAGGTCCCATTCTATAAGGTAATTGGGAATAGGTTGCAGGATCCGGGGCATCTCAAATGTTGAAACTTTAGGGCCCAAACTTCGCTTTAGCACCTGGTGATGTCTTTACATAAAATACATTGAATATTAACCACAGTTGCTCCATTGAAATAAAAACCTACAAAATCTAACAAAAAATCAGAACGTTTCTCTAGTTGAAAATTAGTTTGTGGAGGAAATGAGCTGGGAGAAAATTCTTCTCTTTAGGGCAGCATTTCTCAAACTGGGGGTTGGGACTTCTGGGAAGGGCACAAGGGGGTGTCAAAGACCCTAAGAAAACACAGTATTTTGTGTTGGTCATGGGGGTTCTGTGTGGGAAGTTTGACCCAATTGTATTATTGGTGGGGTTCAGAATGCTCTTTGATTGTAGGTGATCTATAAATCAGCAACTACAACTCCCAAATGTCAAGGTCTATTTTCCCCAAACTCCACCAGTGTTCACATTTGGGCATATTGCGTATCCGTGCCAAGTTTGGTCGAGATCCATCATTGAGTTCAGTGCTCTCTGGATTTAGGTGAACCACAACTCCAAAACTCAAGGTCAATGCCCACCAAACCCTTCCAATATTTTCTGTTATTCATGGGAGTTCTGTGTGCCAAGTTTGGTTCAGTTCCATCATTGGTGGAGTTCAGAATGCTCTTTGGTTGTAGGTGAACTATAAATCCAGCATCTACAACTCCCAAATGACAAATTCAATCTCCCCCCCCCCCCCACACACACTTCACCAGTATTCAAATTTGGGCATATGGGGTATTTGCCAAACTTGGTCCAGTGAATGAAAATACATCCTGCATACCAGATATTTACATTATGATTCATAACAGTAGCAACATTACAGTTATGAAGTAGCAATGAAAATAATTTTATGGTTGGGAGTCACCACAACATGAGGAACTGTATTAAGGAGTTGTGGCATTAGGAAGGTTGAGAACCACTGTTTTAGGGGGGGGGGGGGAGAAGCGAGAAATCAAATGAGGTGCTTATAATCCTATTCATTTAACTTGAATGGTACTTTTGCTCCATGCCTTCAGAGTGTTGTGCTCTGGTCTCCAGGTGGATACAGCTTTCAGCGAAGTCACTGTAACAAATGCCTTTCAGATCATGGCCTGGATGAATTGTTCTTCTTGGTTTTGATTGTCCACTCCTCTTAAAAATGAAACTCTTTCCACCTCCAAATGATCATGAAAGACAGTTTGTTTCTGAATGCCTTTTGTTGCCTCAGCAACTGGTGTGTTGTTCTGAGATGCTACGGCAGAGGGCACTCAAGGATTACACAACACACAGAAAACTACTGGAGGTTTTATGTGTCTTTGGATATTTCCTTAGGCCAGGAATACTCCAAAGGCTCAATCTAGACAAGTGAGAGTTGGCTCTAGCAAATGACAACTGCACTCAACCAGAGACATGTAGGGTTCTATCTCTGGCTGGTTAGCAGCAGATGATTATTCTGTCCAAAGATTAAGAAGGAAGAGATGTTGACTTTAGACGTAGCTACAACCTGTGCAATCTGTCTTTGACCACAGGGATCACATCTTTCCATTCATTGAAATGTCCAAATGCACTGTCTTGTGTCTGTCACTAAACATTTCAAATACAGTATGCAGAAAAGCTTCCTGGTCTTTTCTCTGATTTGAACATCCTGGTTTTTTTTTGTTGTTGTTGTTCATTCGTTCAGTCGTCTCCGACTCTTCGTGACCTCATGAACCAGCCTACGCCAGAGCTCCCTGTCGGCCGTTACCACCCCCAGCTCCCTCAAGGTCAGTCCAGTCACTTCAAGGATGCCATCCATCCATCTTGCCCTTGGTCGGCCCCTCTTCCTTTTGCCTTCCACTTTCCCCAGCATAATTGTCTTCTCTAGGCTTTCCTGTCTCCTCATGATTTGGCCAAAGTACTTCAACTTTGTCTCTAGTATCTTTCCCTCCAGTGAGCAGTCGGGCTTTATTTCCTGGAGGATGGACTGGTTGGATCTTCTCGCAGTCCAAGGCACTCTCAGCACTTTCCTCCAACACCACAGCTCAAAAGCATCGATCTTCCTTCGCTCAGCCTTCCCTAAGGTCCAGCTCTCACATCCGTAGGTTACTACAGGGAATACCATGGCTTTGACAAGGCGGATCTTTGTTGCCAGTCTGATGTCTCTACTCTTCACTATTTTATCGAGACTGGACATTGCTCTCCTCCCAAGAAGTAAGCGTCTTCTGATTTCCTGGCTACAGTCTGCATCTCCAGTAATCTTTGCACCTAGAAATACAAAGTCTGTCACGGCCTCCACGGTTTCTCCCTCTATTTTCCAGTTGTCAATCATTCTTGTTGCCATAATCTTGGTTTTTTGACGTTTAGCTGCAACCCGGCTTTTGCGCTTTCTTCTTTCACCTTGATTAGAAGGCTCCTCAGCTCCTCCTCGCTTTCGGCCATCAGAGTGGTGTCATCTGCATATCTGAGGTTGTTAATGTTTCTTCCAGCAATTTTCACCCCAGCTTTGCATTCATCCAGCCCCGCACATCGCATGATGTGTTCTGCATCACGAAGTAGGTGAGAGTATGCAGCCTTGCCGTACGCCTTTCCCAATCTTGAACCAGTCTGTTGTTCTGTGGTCAGTTCTGACTGTTGCTACTTGGTCCTTGTACAGATTCCTCAGGAGAGACACAAGGTGGCTTGGTATGCCCATCCCACCAAGAACTTGCCACAATTTATTATGATCCACACAGTCAAAGGCTTTAGAATAGTCAATGAAGCAGAAGTAGATGTTTTTCTGAAACTCCCTGCCTTTCTCCATTATCCAGCGGATATTGGCAATTGGTCTCTCGTTCCTCTGCCTTTTCTAAACCCAGCTTGAACATCTGGCAACTCTCGCTCCATGTATTGCTGGAGTCTTCCTTGCAGGATCTGAGCATTACCTTACTGGCATGAGAAATAAGGGCCACTGTACGGAAGTTTGAGCAGTCTTTCGCATTTCCCTTTTTTGGTATGGGGATATAAGTTGATTTTTTTCCAATCTGATGGCCATTCTTGTGTTTTCCATATTTGCTGGCATATGGCATGCATCACCTTGACAGCATCATCTTTTAAGATTTTAAACAGTTCAGCTGGGATCCCGTCGTCTCCTGCTGCCTTGTTGTTAGCAATGCTTCTTAAGGCCCATTCAACCTCACTTCTCAGGATGTCTGGTTCTAATTCATTCACCACACCGTCAAAACTATCCTCGATATTATTATCCTTCCTATACAGATCTTCTGTATAGTCTCGCCACCTTCTCTTGATCTCATCAGCTTCAGTTAGGTCCTTGCCATCTTTGTTTCTTATCATGCCAATTTTTGCCTGAAATTTACCTCCAGTGTTTCTAATTTTCTGGAAGAGGTCTCTTGTCCTTCCTATTCTGTTGTCTTCCTCCACTTCCATGCATTGCTTATTTAAAAATAGTTCCTTATCTCTTCTGGCTAACCTCTGGAATTGCGCATTTAACTGGGCATATCTACCCTTTTCACTGTTTCCTTTTGCTTTCCTCCTTTCTTGGGCTACTTCCAGTGTCTCAGCAGACAACCATTTTGCCTTCTTGGTTTTCTTTTTCTTTGGAACGTACTTTGTTGCCGCCTCCTGAACAATGTCACGGACTTCTGTCCATAGTTCTTCTGGGACTCTGTTTACTAAATCTAGTCCTTCAAATCTGTTCTTCACTTCCACTGTATATTCGCTAGGAATGTTAGTGAGATCATATCTAACTGGTCTGTGTATTTTCCCTGATCTCTTTAGTTTGATTCTAAATTGGCAATAAGAAGTTCGTGATCTGAGCTACAGTCAGCCCCAGGTCTTGTTTTCACCGACTGGATGGATGTCCGCCACCTTTGGCTGCAAAGGATGTAGTCAATCTGATTTCGGTGTTGACCATCTGGTGAGGTCAATGTATAAAGCCGTCTTTTAGGTTGTTGGAAGAGAGTATTCGTTATACACAGCGAGTTTTCCTGGCAAAATTCTATCAGCCTGCGTCCCGCTTCATTTTGTTCTCCCAGACCATGCTTGCCTGTGATCCCAGTTGTCAATTGACTTCCCACCTTGGCATTCCAGTCTCCTGTAATGAAAATAATGTCTCTTTTTGGTGTATTATCCAGTAGGTCCTGCAGATCCTCATAGAACTGATCTACTTCTGCTTCTTCAGCAGCTGTGGTTGGGGCATATATTTGGATCACTGTAATGTTGAAAGGCTTTCCTTGCACTCGAATTGAGATCATTCTGTCATTTTTTGGGTTGTATCCAAGCACCGCTTTAGCGAATTTCTGATTAATTATGAAGGCTACTCCATTTCTTCGATGTTCCTCTTGTCCGCAGTAGTAGATCTGGTGGTCATCTGATGTGAAGTGGCCCATTCCAGTCCATTTCAGTTCGCTGACCCCCAGAATGTCTATCTTTAGTCTAGACATCTCACCAATAACAACATCCAATTTGCCCTGGCTCATAGATCTTACATTCCAGGTTCCTATGGTGTGTTGATCTTTAGAGCATCGGATTCGTCGTTCACCTCCAGTACCGTCAGCCGCTAGCCTTTCTTTCGGCTTTGAGCTAGCTGCGTCATCACATCTGGGGCTAGTTGAACTTATCCTCTGCTCCTCCCCAGTAGCATTTTGGCCATCTTCCGACCTGGGAGTCCCATCTTCCAATGGCATACCGACATATCTCTGGTTGTACTGGTCCATTTAGTTTTCTTGGCAAGGATACTGGAGTGGTT